TGTGCCCATACAAACGTATGGAAAAATTTCCGAGCGTAGCACGTGGGAGAAATTACGGGATACGCTGGCGGGACACCAGTGAAGAGTGATCGAAGAGGATGAAAATAGGCCCGTTAGCCCATAATGATGAATTCATCTGGAATTAATCATGATAGTATCCAGGGGGAACCGCGAGGTCGACCTAGTGAGGTATATTGCTAGCAACGGGATTCTCAGTGTCCATTACTAACAGTCCCTTTCCCCCCGAGAAATTATGGTAGCCACATATAACTGGTAGATTTTGGTCGAAAGTAAAAAACCGACTTCAATTATGATAAATTGTCATAGCCGTAGAATACTGACGGATCTTTATATGTAGTATTCGGCAGATCCGTCAGTATTCTACGACTATGACGAAATATTTGAATTTAGAACACGGGATTGTGCATATACAAGTAGTGTATGATTTTAAACTAGCAGTGTTTCATATTTATACCAAATTTCATTGTGTTCCGTTAGGAGGTTGGAAGGTAACAAAAAAACATACTCATTTTTACATTTATAACGTTAGTAAGTAAACCAAATTAATCTCTACATGATAAGTTTTTAAAGCTCTTGTAGCATTTGTTTTATAATAGCAAATAGTGTTTTATCTATATGGGGGAAAGCAATATGTCACCTACATGTGACAATAGGCACACTGCGGGGGGAAAGGCATTGTTAGCAATGGAGTTTGACAACCCCATTTACTAGCAAGATGCCCTATTAGGTCGACCTCCACGTAGTTCCCCCTGGAAACCATCGTAAACGATTCTTGTTGAATTTGTCACAATGGGCTAACTGACCTAGTTCATCCTCACCTATCATCCTTCACTGGTGCCCCGCCGGTGAATACAGTTAGTGCGAGTTGGGTTACCATTCCATTATCACCCATTATACAAAAATAGGCCCATTGCTGGGAATATACTCTATCAGGTCGTCCAGAGGGGACCACGTGACTGCTCAGGATGGGCTAACTTATCTGCTATTTCATTCTCACCTATCATCCCTCACTGGTGCCCCGCCAGCGTATACCGATAGTGCAGGCGGGGTCACCATTCTATTTCCACACATTATAACCACACATTATAACTTAAATTAGAAGAAATAATAATGTTAACACAAGATATGACTAAATGATTTGTCATAGATATGAAATTCCTTGTCAAGACGTCATATTTGTACAAAAAGGTATCTTTCTTTTTGAAGACTTCAAAAGAAGGTCGGTTTAAAAAAAAATTAGTAGTATTTCTTTTTCTGTTTGTTACCTCATAACTCCGTCAGTACTGAAGCGATATGAAAAATTATTTTTTTTTTATCTGAAAGGATATACTTTCAGATTGTTCCTACAGAAATTAACAGATATAATATATCCCATATTTACAAATAGATATTTTATCACAATCGATTCAGTAATTTAGTTTTTACATCAAAATAACTAGTTTTGTCACAATTGAAGTCAGTTTTTTTGTGGGACACAATCTTTAATTATATATCTACAATTTCCGCTATATCAATGTTTGCTTAATGACAATTGAAAAAAATCATTCCGTCAATAAACATTGTCTATGCTACCATAAAACTCATCATCGTCATCAAATCACTAACCAAGGACAATTGCCGCCAATTAATTTAAATGGCGAACAATCTAAACGTATCATTGTCAGCAGATAAGGAGATATAAAGAAGCGACACTCACACAGATATATATAATAATATTTATATATAAACACCATCTTTTTTTTTATACAACTTGGAATGGCAAACAAGCTGACGGCCCACCTGATGGAAAGTGGTAACCGTCGCCTATACACATGAGCAGTACCATGGACATAACAGAGTATACTGTTTCGCCCATGATACCCCCAAACGCGTTACCATTCCTGAGGACTCGGGTGTTATTTCTCTGTACCCAGTAAATTCATGCCATATCCCACCCTTCAAACCGAAACACAGCCATGCAAACACAGCTGCTTCACGGTTGAAACACGAATGGGACAGAGGTATACAAGCAATCGACTTTTGTACAAAGTCGCCCTCTGGTGAATATTAATTCATCCATTACAAACAAACAAAAAAATCTTAATTATATTAGTTTAAATGTATAAACATCGGTTAATTACAAGTTTATTATGTACAATATAACTTATACAAATATCAAATAAATGATTTTATTGCGTATATTCCGGCAACTGTTTTCATTGTGGAATGTTTTATATTTTACAACACAGATATGGAACTTTCGAGCAATTATCTTAATGACGGGGAAAACCGTTAAATCTATGTAATAATTGAAAAGCCTTTCCCTTCAGAGGAGGTTAGAATTTTAATTTAGTTAAACTGAGTTTGTTACCATGCGTAAACGGCTTTTTTTTATACAACTTAGAATGGCAAACAAGGTGACGGCCCACCTAATGAAAAGTGGTAACCGTCGCCTATAGACATGAGCAGTACCATGGACATAACAGAGTATACTGTTTCGCCCATGATACCCCCCATGCGTTGCCATTGCTGAGGGCTCAGATGTTATTCCTCTGTACCCTGTAAATTCACGCCATATCCCACCCTTCCAAGACTTAGAGACGGACTACAGAAAAATCATCTGCTTGGGTATCACTGTCCCATTCGTATTTCTGCTGTGGATCAGTTGTTTGAAGGGTGGGATGACAATGAAATTACAGAGCATAGAGACATAATACCTTAGTCCTCAGGAATAGCAACGCATGACAAGTATCATGGGCGACATAGTATACTGTTATCAATGATAAGTTCTATGCTTATATGTACATGTACCCATGTACCCATATTGTGATAATAAATACATTTTTATATTTTACACTAATTCGCTAAAAAAAGATTGTTGAAAAATTTCAGCGCGTGCAAAGGCACGGGCGATAACTAGTCTATTATTAGAGTTATTGTTTGAAGTCACAACTGCAGCCTGTTATAAAAGAATCCATACAAATGCAATGCATTTTGCGCGTATGCATTATAACAGGTTTTAATTGCATTATGAAAGGATCTTAACCATCTATGTATTTAAGTACATGTGAATATACATAAATTGAGGGGAAAGGGATTGTTCGTAATGGAGACTGAGAATCCCATTGCTAGCAATATATCCAACCAGGTCGACCTCCTCGCGGTTTGCCCCTGGAAACTATCATGGTTAATTCCTGATGAATTTATCATGATGGGCTAACTGGCCTGTTTTCATTCACATCTATCACCCTTCACTGGTGCTCCGCCAGCATATCCCGTTAGCACAGGCGGGGTTACCAAACCATTTTCACCCATAAAAAAAAATCATAGGGGGAAAGGGATCTTTAGTGATGGGGTCCAACAGGCACATTACTAGCAATATGGTAATTATATACTAATTAATTACCCAATAAGGTATTATCGGCTCGACCTGCATGAAACCATCAAGGTTAATTCTTGTTAAATTCATCACAATAGGCGCACAAATCTGCTTTTATCTTCACTTGTCATCACTTACTGGTGCCCCACCAGTGTATACTAATAGCTATGCTATGGGTGCTAGCAGTTAGCTATGCAGGGTTGCTATTTTCACCCATTAAAGAAACACAAAGTCATATAATTATGTATAAAAATCTTCGACAATAAACAATAATTCTGTGTGTGAACTTTGGAGTAATCATTTATCACTACATTGTCATCCTTACATGAATCAGGGCAGAATAACCAAGAATGTTCTAAATTTTTAATTTAAAATACTATGTATTGTCAAAACTATTATAAATAAGAATATATTATATACATAACTAGGGGCCCATCCCAGCTTTGCACAGGTGGACTTTTTTACAACATTTTACATTTTTATCTGTACCTACCTAGCTACCTATTTCATAGATGTGCCCACCCTCACCTGCCCCTCTCCCGCACTGCTAAAATTGGTACGAATAACATGTACAATGCAACAGCATTATAATGCCTGTACTGTCAACACTGAAAAAAGTATCAATTTGACAGCACAATCCCCATCTTTAAAAAAAGACACAAAAATGCCCATTAACAAAATGATCCGCCATATATTGAATTAATTTGTTACAAAAAATATGATAAATGAAGAACCGCTTGACCGATTTTGAGCAAACTTCACATAAACCATCTACTAAATAGTCCGAACAAAGCCTAAACATTTGGTTTAGATAGGTGAGACCGTTCTTGAGTTATAAAATTACAACGAAAAGTGACATTAATTTATATATATATATATATATATATATATATATAGATGATGTGCCATGATGTTTTTTTAATGGTACAGTAACCCCAACTGCATTATCAGTATATGCTAGCAGAGCAATAGTGAGGGATGATAAATGAGGATGAAATTAGGTCAATTGGTCTATCATGACAAATTTCATAATAATTAATCATAATGAACTCCAGGGGAAACCAAGTAGAGGTTGACCTGGTAGGGTATATTGCTAGCAGTGAAGCTGTTAGATTCCCATTACCAACAAACAATGTTTGGTGTAATATATACTTGTTTCCAACTGTAGTTAATATTAGTCAAGTTAAAAGATTAGGTATCTTAGTTGGTGTGATCACGTAGCCTTTATTTTAACTTTACAATTTTTTAATATTTACATAAGTAGGCATCTAGTAGTGTTGTTAGACATTGCAAAGACGTCACTTAAACATAAATTATGTTAATTTTAAAAATATTATAACCATGTGAATTGTACATAATATGTAATTTGTTTTTTAATATTCAAAAATAGAATTATAAATCTATGGATTTTGTTTTCTTTTGAAAGAGGGGTAGTTCCTAATCACCTAATAAGTATTTGCCTTGATGACGTGCTAGCCAAGGACGTTCGAATCTTTGTTCGAATTTCAAATGAACAAAATGGTTTGAAATCGTTGAATATAATAAACAAATAACTAATAACAATTCTTATAAGAAAGGTAGGTAGTAAAAAATAATTGCTTATCTATAGATAAATACTTACAAAAAGTTTTTCTCCTTGTCAGCGTCAGGTTCCAGTCCAGCACCATCGTAATAATTACTAATACTACTACTAAAGTTTAATTGTTGTATTATCTTCGTCATCTTGGCAAGTCGTAGTTGCGCCTTGTAATAACTTTTCAACAGAAAACACGGTCAAAACCGTAAAGAATTGCAAACAAATTGCGTAGTGCACTGTACAATCAGTCAAATTGAAGACAATTTCATAATTGTGATGAATAATAGTGCAACCTGAAGTGAGGTTAATATCACAATATTGCTCAAATTATATATAACGATGATTGCATACAAAATTCACGTGCTTAATATACTTCTGAATTTAGTCGCTTAATATTTTTATTTCTCGTAATGGCTGCCGGAAACGTGACGTTTCTATTTTCTAATGTTCCATTTTACGAAGAATTTATTGCGAAAGTGAAAGTATTAAGCGATTTAGATGAAAACTATTTAAAAATTTAGAGTTTAGTATTTAAACAACTACAAATTTCGACTTTTCTAAATAAATTAGTTGTCATAATATGTTTTAAATTATACTTTGATGTTTTGTATTATATAATTAAGTAATATTATATTATTTTTACATTTTAAGCAAAATAAATTATTTGCATACTTAAATAAAATATAAATCTCATATTATTCTGTATTTTTTATATATCTATTTACTCAATTATAGATATTCCAATGTTCAATTTGGCTCAAATATTTTTTAACACAAAACAGACGTTCCATTCTCGATATTATTGAATGCCATGAAGTTAGTAAGAAGACTATCGATTATAATATTCAATAAGTACAACAATAATAATAAATGTGTACTGATTTAATGAATTATCGATTTAAGATAATTAAAAATAAACTTACCGATTACGAAAAATTAAAGAAGGCATACTACTCGGATCAATACTTTTAAACTTTTGTTCCTCTATCATGTAAACTGGTAAAGCATATAACGTCATTACTTCACTTTAGACTTACACTTCACTCGAAACACTTTTAAGGGTATTGTTTTTTCACTGGGTAGAACATTTAATGGTTCTTCGCTTTGGTAACTTCTAGAATGGCGTGAATACTTGGGTAACGACATTCAGGCTCGAAGGCGCGATCTGGACTGCTAGTCCGCATTTGTTATACAATCTAAGCATTTGATATATTTATGTAGGTAGATATACAATGTCCCTGTCTCACCCTATGTGGGGTCGGTGTGGTGTGGGTCCACACTTATTGACTTTGGCTGGTATTAAAGTATTATAATTCTTTTTACTTTTGTCACGATCGTATATTATATCTGTTCTTCTCATCACAACCTTAGTGGTAAATATATCAATTTAGGGATTGATTTAACACACAATCCCATTGCACCAATATCCAACCTGTCCCAGGTTCTCTGGAAACTATCATCTTAATGAATATCAAATATTTTTTCATTCTCATGTTTCACTGGTGCTCCGCCAGCGTATCGTTGGTGGGGTTACCATACCATTTTCACCCATAAAAAAAAATATCAATTTAACACACAATCTCACCTTGCAACTGTCGCAGGTTCGATTCTCATACAATATAAATATTTTGTATTTATTATATATTGTTTACTACTGAGGATCATGGTTCGTAGCAATTAATTAAATGCTCGATAGATGGGTAGGATTGTTAGCAATGAGTCTGATTTTTTTTCTGCTTTTAAGGACGCATAATATTTACGTCTACTTTTTAAATTGCTTAAAAAACGGTTCTGAATTCGATGATATTTTTATGTACGTATCATTATCCGAATGTTTTAAACCGATTTTGATAATTCTTTATTAAATTTATCACATGACAGTCTCCGTTTTTCAACCGACCTTAAAAAATGAGGAGGTTAACAATTCGGTTGTATTTTTATATGTTTGTAACTTCACAGCGCTACTATTTAAAAATAATTTTGGATTTTTTTTTTCTGAAATGTATACTTTCTACACACATTTATTCAAAATCGGCTGTAGTTTAGTTTTTAAATCAATATAATGATTTTTTTTTTTTTTTTTGGGAAATTACATCTTAAATTATTGTGAGCCAAAATCTTAAATTATCACCCCGTGTGATACAGTCGCCTTTGCGCATGTGCAGTGCGTCCCGTGACGTCACTTTGTTTACCCCTAACAACAGTGGTTGTTTTGGTTCTGCAAACGATCGGCTGTTTTTCACAAAATAGCACCTAATACAAAGCTAAATAAATATACATATGGTGTGGTCCCGGCATAGAATGGGCCGCACTCTTCCTTTCCCGTGGATGTCGTAAGAGGCGACTAAGGGAACTTAATTGTCGAGGGATGGGCAGCAGCGGGTCTCTTGAAACAGCACGAAAAGCCTAACTGCCGTTGTCTACTCTCCTGCTAAGCGTGGCAACTACTGGCAACCCCCCCAATATAAAGGAGGCCTATGTTCAGCAGTGGACAGTTAAAGGCTGATATGTTGATGATGACAGGCTTTAAATAGACTAATACGGCGCGTTCGGCTATTGACTTATTGTTATTAGGTTCAGACTGGAATTAGCTCCCTGTCGAGGTTTTCCTAGAGACTTTTTTTTATACAACTTAGAATAGACAAACAAGCTGACGGCCCACCTGATGGAAAGTGGCAACCGTCGCCTATAAACATGAGCAGTACCATGGACATAACAGAGTGTACTGTTTCGCCCATGATTACCCCCCATGCGTTGCCATTCCTGAGGACTCAGGTGTTATTCCTCTGTACCCTGTAAATTCACGTCATACATCAAACCGAAACACAGCCATGCAAACACAACTGCTTCACGGTTGAAACACGAATGGGACAGAGGTACACAAGCAATCGACTTTTGTACATAGTCTACAGTATGGGGTTCTTCAAAATGGCTATATTAAGATTTCTTCAGGGTCGGCAACGCGCACGTGACACCCCTAGTCTTGCAGCCGCCCATAGGCTGTAACCTGACATTTGACCATGGACCATGTGACCATTCACTATCAAACATGCTGTATGCATGGCGTGAATTTACTGGGTACAGAGAAATAACACCTAAGTCCTCAGGAATGGCAACGCATGGGGACTATCATGGGCGAAACAGTATACTCTGTTATGTCCATGGTACTGCTCATGTCTATAGGCGACGGTTACCACTTTCCATCAGGTTGGCCGTCAGTTTATTTGCCATTCTAAGTTGTATAAAAAAAATGCTTGCTTGCTACTTTTGTGGCATAAAATAAGACTTGAAATTTTTTGTTTTACGAATTTTTATCTTAATATAAATGGAATATGTTTACTAAGCAGGATAAAAAGTAGCCTATGTCCTTCCCTATCTGACTAACTAAACCACTGAACCGATTTTGATAAAATTTCTTCGTAACCAATCTGTAAAAAAAGATAAAAAAAAAGAATTTCCCAAATCGGTTTAAAACTGACGGAATTATGAACTAACGAACATTAAAAAAAAAATACAACCGAATTGAAATCTTTCCACTTTTTGAAGACGTTTGAAAATATATTTTTGCACGTTATATGTTATGTTTTATATACAAACCCTATATTTTCTGATTTTGGGTTCTCAAAGTAAACTGCCAGAATTACCTTCAAGGGATAAGTCCGCGTATGTACATTTTGGTTATAACCTGATATCTATATTAAAAGAGAGTGCACAAAAACATATAAATAAATAAATAAATAAAGATTAACTTTTATTTTAGTAATAAATTAATAAATTACATCGTTATTTACAATAAATCTAACACACTGAGAAAAATCTTTTATGACATATTGTTTTGCTATAAGTGTATTTGTATTTTTAGTCCATATTTAAATTTGTTATATTTCTTTGATTTTTTATTATTTCTTTTAAATTTCCTGCCCTAATTTAGATATATGATACGGTACTAATACAGTTATTGTGATTTTTTTCAACAAATCACCGTACAACTTCAGTAATGATATTTCCTTTGTCTTGAATAGGATTGCTACCGAATTATTAGGGGTTTTCAGGCTTGCAACTTTCTCGTCCAAATGTTGCTTTTGAAAATTAGCACTTAAATCTTTTATTACAGATTCTACATTTGCTTCTGTCAAGCTTGCACAGCTAATAGAACTGGCTGGAGCATCGTTTAGAACATCAGATGCTTTCTGACAAGGTATATAGAACGTTGATGTTTTCGGAATAAAGTCCTGTTTTCCTCCTGCGTTTTCATTTAATTTGGCAATTGAAATTTGTTGATTTTGCGTGAGACTATTGGAATGTATTATGTTTGAATTTGGAATATTGTAATCGTTAAGAACTGCATTTGTGAAACCAGCATTTTGTATATCACCAATTGGAATAAATTCCACCATTTTAAAATATGGATTATTATTTTTATTAGTTGTTACATGATTTCTTTCCGATTGTACATCCTGATGACGTTGTAATGAAATAAAATTAGAATTTGCAACTCCATTTATTGGCGAATTGTCGAGACCTTGAATGCCAGGTTTAATTTCAGAATTTTGGGTCAAATCGTCACCGTTAATTGCTTGTAAATACTTGATTACATAAGATGTATTAGGTATATCTTCTTGACCGGGATTTGCTTTTATTACATGGTCTATAAGGTCAATATTTTGATTTAGTATAATTTTGTTCTCGTCAGTTGTTGAATTTGATAGATCAGTAATGGGTTCTGGAAGTATAAAATTAGGGTCTATCTCTCTATTGCCCATATAATTAGTTTCCATTGATCTTGGTTTAAAAATTGGTATCATAGTAGGTGGCAATTCAAAATTTTGATTAATTGTTGCATTTAATTTAAGTTTCTTGTTCATCATTTCAATTATTGTAGGTTTTCCATCGTTTAGTGTAGGTTTTTTGTTTGGTGATGCAGTGGTTTTAGTTTTAAGATCTGTTAATGCTGAAGATTTAGTTTTAAGATCTTTTCCATTCTTATGCTTTTTCATGGGTATAGTTTGTTTATTTTTAACATCTTGACTAACAGTTGTCGATTCAGTAACTGTATCTGCATATATAATCTTTTCAATGGTTCCTGTTTTATTTTCTTTTATACTTTCATTTTCTGTTTTCTTCCCTTCTAATATTTTATTGAAAGCTTCTGATTCTTCTTTAGTGTGAGCTGTATTAATTGTATTAATTAATGGATAAGAAGGATCTTCAAGTAATTCTAATACTTTCAAGGTTTTTGACAAATCTTGCGGTTCAGACAAATAAGCACCATTTTGTACTGTTGAGAGTTTTTGATATATATTATTTGAAACGTTGAATGGAGATGAGACAGCTATATTCTGTAAAATAAAAATTTAATAATAATGTTAACTCTGTAATTAAAATTTCTACCTACCCCAATAGGAGTCAAGCGTGACAGATATATATGTAGGTACGAATATGTAATAGATAAATTTTTTACTATATATTTAATAACTTTATAATACAAATGTATTGTAGCTTTTTTTTACAAATGATGTAAAAAACTATGTTTTTTTTTTCAGTCGTTAACTGTCCACAGCTAAACATAAGCCTTTTCCATAAGGGAGGTTTTGCCAGTAATAGCCACATTTGGCAAGCGGGTTAGCAATCGCAGTTAAGCGTTTAGAGATGTTTTAAGAATGACGCTGCTACCCATTCCTCAACCGTTAACTTCCTTTAGCCTCTTACGACAGCCACAGGAAAAGAAGGGGTGCCCTATTCTATGCCGGGATCACACGGCCATATATTGTAACTACGTAAATTGGTGATAAATTGTAATCAATAGATGTCGCAACATTGCTCTGATGCAATTTTATATAATGTATTAACAATAACAGACGTATACACTTTTTCAATAAATCTTAATGCAAAGTGAACGCTCAGACTATGGAATGAGCTCCTTGCTGAGGTTTTCCCTAAAGACTACTGTATGGGGCTCTTCAAAAAGGATATTTTCTGAGGAAAGGATTAGGGTTTCTTTAAGATTGGCAACGCGCACGTAAGACCCCTAGTGTTGCAGGCGTTTATAGGCTACAGTGTCCGTTTACCATCAGACGGGCAGTATGGCTGTTTGCCATCTACGTGGTATAAAAGATAACACGATTTTGTCGTAATTATCACAGAAACTCTACCTAAATGGAATTACGGAGACTTAATTACGGAGGGAATTAATGGAATAAAGGAGACTTTATACAAAAGTCATTTGCTTGAATGGCAACGCATCTGTTCCATTCGTGTTTCTCTTTTATATGCAGTTGTGTTTGCATGGCTGTGTTTTTTTGAAGGGTGGGATATGGAATGAATTTACAGCCTGGTACAGAGGAATAACACCAGTGAGTTCTGAGAATGAAGGAATGGCAATAGCCCATCATGGAGCAATTAATCATGGTAGTTTCGAAACGACCTGGTTGGGTATAGCAATGGGATTCCCAGTCTCTTTATGTTGTTTCTTGTGTATAGGCGACGGTTACCACATTCCATCAGGTGGGCCGTCAATTATTCATAAAGAAAATTTTGTTTACATTTTTATTAATATCTATTGAAATAGACGGATTTCATATAAATACATACAGACATACATATCTCTTACGCCTGTCTCTTATTACTGATATAAATGGAAAAATGTAGAAAGAATATGCCAGATACTATCTTTAATTTATACTGAAAAATGACACTATCGTTTTTTAACAGACTTCCAAAAAAAGAGGTCTTTATATATTTGTTACCCCATAACACCGTCAGTTATAAACCGATTATGAAATATATTTTTTTTTATCTGAAAGCATATTCACACAGATTGATCCTGTATAAATTTTATCAAAATCGGTTTAGTACTTTAATTTTTAAATCAAAACAACTACAAGTAAAGTCGATTTGAACGAACTCTTAATCATGACTCATGTTTTTTTTTTAATACTTTATTGTACACACCAGTTGTAAGAATATGGCAGTGGTAATCAAATGTACAAAGGCGAGCTTAACTCTGATAGAGTTCTCTTCCAGCAACACCCAAAGTGGAAAGGAGCATCCAAGTCAGCGGACACAGCAGTGTACAATTTTTAAACAGTATTTAAAAAAAGAAATAAATAACAGTCTCTCTACATAGATTAATTGTAAGTACAGATTAATACTCACAATTGATATTATAGAAACGAGAAGGTACGAAAATTTTTCCTTCATATTTTTCTTAACCACATTTTACTTCACACTAGCGAACTTCACGAGAAATGAATTACATTAAAAAAGAGATCTCTCGTAATCAGTTTTATAAGTAACTTCATTGGTCATCACTATTGCGTAAACCGATTATAAATAATCGATAAGTATCGCATTGCGATGCAATACTTTGTATTGGGGGGAAAGGGATTCAATCAATCAATCAATCATATTTATTCATATACATCTGTTACAGATTCTTATGATACGTCATTTTATAATTATAATAATTACTATATAAAATAATATTGATTTAAAAAAATTACAATAATTACATTTACAATACAATTCACATTAATACAAAATTCAAATCCATGCAGTTTTGTCATTTAAATAGTCATTTAATTTGTAATATGCTTTTGTACAGAGAGTCCTTTTTATATATATTTTAAATTTTCTTTCATTTGTTAGTAATGGAGACTGAGAATCCCATTGCTAGCAATATACCCAATCAGGTTAACCTCCTCGTGGTTCTCCCTGGAAACTATCATGGTTAATTCCTGATGAATTCATCATGATGGACTAACTGGCCTGTTTTCATTCTCATCTATCACCCTTCACTGGTGCTCCGCCTGCGTATCCCGTTAGCGCAGGCGGGGTTACCATACCATTTTCACCCATCAAAAAAAAAACTGTAGTTGTCCATCCGCTTACAAGGCGTGGCAATTACTGGCAAACCCCTCTATATTCATCAGTGGTTAACAGCTGATATGATGATGCACCAAATGACCAACAGTCTGACGACCCACCTGATGAAAAGTGATAATCGTAACTTAAGGAAATAAAAATTTCAAGGTTTTTTTATACAACTTAGAATGGCAAACAAGCTGATGGCCCACTTGATGGAAAGTGGTAACCGTCGCCTATAGACACGAGCAATACCATGGGCATAACAGAGTATACTGTTTCGCCCATGATACTCCCCATGCGTTGCCATTTCTGAGGACTCGGGTGTCATTCCTCTGTACCCAGTAAATTCAAGGTACATATACTGTGACTTCACATAAATATATTGTTTGAAAACCTTGAAGGTGTAACGGTTATCACCGCCTCACCAGCGGTGAGGTCCGGTCACCGGGCGTGGGTTCGGTCCCTCATCAACTTTTTTATACACACATTACGGCAGCGGAATTAAACTAATTAACTATAATCAAATAACCAGTGACATGGAGATCCGCAAGATAACATCTGGTTCAGTAAAATATTCCTAGGAACTGAGATTTACGTTAAAAATCTTCACAAAAAGTTGTAAGTGAGTGAAAATAGTAGGGAGATTGAGTATACTCGTGCAAATCCGGGATAAGCAGCTACATACATACATACATATCTGTCACGCCCGTCTCCCATTAGGGTAGGCAGAAACAATGGAACGCCAAATGCTTCGATACAAACAAACCTCTTTCGCTTCTTCCACATTCATTAATCTCTTCATACACGCTCGCCGGTTACGGGTACTTTTAATTTGGCCCTTCTTCAGTAGTAAGGATAGTAATAGTATATATATAGTAGTAATCTTCATAAGCAGCTAGTTTATACTAATATTATAAAGAGTAAAGTTTGTCTGTTTGTTTGTAACGGATAAACTAAAAAGACTACTTAATTAATTTCAAAAATTCGTTTATCTATAAAAAGCTATATTATCACCGAGTAACATAGGCTATAAACTATTTTCAAAATTCTGTCTTCTATCTACGCATGCGAGATCGGGCCGGATCGAATTCTTACTAATATTATAAATATGAAAGAAAGTTTGTGTGTTACTTTATAACGCCTTAATGGCCATAAACAATCGTCATTACATTTGGGATATATGGGGGGACTATATTGGGATAGTCAAGGATTTAAGATTGTTACCTTCAAGAAAAAAGCATAAATAGTCGCGTACAACGCGGTTTCAGAGATGTTTTCTCCCACGATTTTTTTATACAACTTAGAATGGCAAACAAGCTGCCGGCCCACCTGATGGAAAGTGGTAACCGTCGCCTATAGACATGTGCAGTATCATGGACATAACAGAATATACTGTTTCGCGCATAATACCCCCCATGCGTTGCCATTCCTGAGTTGCCATAAATTCACACCATATCCCACCCTTCAAACCGAAACACAGCCATGCAAACACAACTGCTTCATGGTTGAAACACGAATGGCACAGAGGTACCCAAGCAATCGACTTTTCTACTCCCTCTGGTTATGGAATGAGCTTCCTGCCGAGGTTTCCCAATAGACTAACACCTACAACATGTGGTTCTTCAAAAAGAGGGTGAAGAGGTTTCTTCAGGGTCGGCGACGCGCGCGTATTACCACTGGTATTACAGATGAACGGCTACGGTAACCGCTTACCATCAGGTGTTGCCATCTCGGTGCTATAAAAAAAAAATTAAAAAGTCCTGCATTTTGAAATCATAGAACCCCAGTCGAACATTCTATCCAATTATTCAATAAATAAATTGATAAATTTAATTATGAAAGCAAACGATGATAAAATATTTCTCACTACTTATCCTCACGTACTTGGCTACAAATGTGATAAAAAAAAAATCACAATTTCTCAATAGACATTTCGTGTACGTTATGCCCGACTTTGAACTTTATTCCATTGGCAAAAGTGAAGTAGCTTGATTAGTTAAGTTTCTAGAAATATTCTCTTTATCCATTATGTTGTGACATTTTATAAGTATATATACTAGACTCTAGATCTGTTCTGTACACACTGAACAATTACCTTTCAGTAGTATTCAGTTACTTCTTAAAAAAAAATCCAAAATGAAATTCTTCGCTTTCGTCGTCTTCGCACAGGCCGTGTTCTTCCAGGTAAATTTTATTTATTTATTAATTTATTATTTAATTAATTTACTTGTTTATAACTAGTAATCCGTCCTGCTTTTGCATTGTGTGAATAGATAGAGAGATAAATTAGTATTTTATATTAGCATAAGAGATCTGTTTGAAATGAAGCATTTAGCGTTTCATTGTTACTGTCTACCCTAATGGGGGACAGGCGTGACAGATGTATGTACATTAGTTGAAATAATGAAAAAATTTTGATTCTTTGCATAATATAATTGAAAGTTTTGTAGGGATTTATAACTTTTTTTTTTTAATAATATGTAGCTAATATTTTTCGTGTAGTCCCGGCATAAAGTAGGCCACCCTTTCCTATCCCGAGCATAACGTAAGAGGCGACTAAAGGAACTCAATGGTCGAGGGATAGGCAGTATGCCCCTTGTAAAACATTACCACAGCGGGGGGAAAGGGCTTGTTAGTAATGGGGACTAAAGCTCGTTACTACTAATAATATAAATACTGGCAAACCTATGATTAACAGTTAATTGCTGATATGTTAATGATCAGTCTTGTATATAATTCACTAACCCAAAATGATAACATAAATTTAATCAATTTCATTAAAAATTCAATTAATCATTCACTAATATTGTTTTTTCAGGCCGCCTATTCCCAGTGCATCAGACCGTACGGACCTCGTGTGGTTGCCCCGGTCGCAGCGCCACTTATGGCCCCGGCGCCAATTCTGTCCCCGGCTGTTCTACCCGCTCCAACGATTGTCCCCGCCATGTCCCCAGTAGCGATCCCCAGCGTGGCCAACAGCCTTGCTGATACCCTTTCCCTGCTGACCGTGAGCAGCCTGCTTGCTGACACCCTACCTTTGTCTTACCCGAATGTGGTGACCAGCTTACCGATGGTTGGTGGATGCGGATGTGGTTTAGGCCCCATCTATTACTAAACTTCTATATTTTTTTTTATAATTGGCATAATTTGGTAAATAATTTTGGTAAAAATTATTATTGCTAATTTTTTTTTAGAAATGTGCTCTTTTATATTAATTAATTATATATTATTCTTTTTTCTCTCTTTTTACCAATTTTGAAATAATAAGCAATTTATATATTATTATTTTGGTTTTTTAACTCATTTATCATTTTAAACAAAAATAAGCCAGCAAAGTACCAAGATCGTTTACTAAGTAAGCCAATTACAACAACAGGTTATTAGATTATTAAAAAAAGTAAAAATTTCTAAAAACAATTGTAAATCCTGTCATTGTTTAAATATATTTTGACAATACTGCATTTTGGCTATCTTACCTCTTTATAATGTATTTCAAACTCTTTACTTTGTAAATACAGGGTGTAACGAAATATTTAAATGTGTAACTCAATTTTAGTATTTATTAAATACCATCAAAAACATAAAATATATAAACATGCCAAGTCTCGAAACACAGGTTTTTCACTACAAAAAATGTGAGATTTCATAGAAAACCAAGTCGGTTATTTTGGTTAGTGTCTATGGAAGCATCTACTCAATAACTTTGGTATAAATTGGTATCTAATCAATTACTCCGGTATCATTGATCGGTATCAATAATATACAAGATGTCTATTGCTATAATAACTATAATGACTTATGAAATAAAAATAATGAAAGTAAAAATAACTCACAATACCCCCAATTCGTTACACGCTGTATATGTCAATTATGTTTATTTATTAAACCATTTGTTTGAATCTTTACATAAAATAAAAAAAAGTAACAGTATTATATGTTTTTCATTATATGCATACTACACACATACCTACATATTCACTACTTCCTATGCCACTGTGTTAGGTTGACTGGAAGAAATCTCTTTCTGAGATAAGTTTGCTTTGCTTACTTTACACACACACATATATATATATATATATATATATATATATATATATATATATATATATATATATATATATATATATGTGTGTGTGTGTGTGTTCCGTATATATATATATATATATATATATATATATATATATATATATATATATATATATATATATATATAAGGTTTATATATACCTACAGATACCTAGTATCATGAAATAAATGAATAATTAAAAAAAAAGTGAACTTAAAACATTTTCATTTTGGAAGACATTTTAAAATATATATTAAAAATATAAAAAAAAACTCCCGATACATAAAAAGTAATTCGTTAGATCCTAGGTACCAGTTACTGTCCCATTTTCCTCATCAATCCAGCTAGGGCATTGATCAGACAAAAAATAATAACTTTCAAGTTTTTAGTTTTCATTGCATTACTATTCCTCATTCCCTTTCAATATAATGGATATTATTCTCCTAGTAAAGCCCTTTAATTGGATACCCATATTTAGAGAGTTGTAAAAAAAAGTTATTCGCCATTTTGTGGCAGCGGCCATCTTGGATTTAAAAATTGTCATAGTATTCTATGACTATTCTACTACTCAAGCCCTTTTTTGATATCTATATTCAGGAGTTGAGAAAAAATATGTATTTTACTAGTCAAGCCCTTTAATTGGATACCCATATTTAGGGAGTTGTAAAAAAAAGTTATTCGCCATTTTGTGGCGGCGACCATCTTGGATTTGTAATTTGTCATAGTATAGTATTCTACTACTTAAGTCCTTTTTTTAATACCTATATTGAGAGAGTTGTGAAAAAATATGTAATCCGACATTTTGTGACGGCGGCCATCTTGGACCGATCTCCATCAAACAAAACAAGAACACACCTGTTGACTAATGCCACACACACACACACACACACACACACACACACACACACACACACACACACACACACACACACACACACACACACACAAACACACACACACACACACACACACAAACACACACACACACACACACACACACACACACACACACACACACACACACACACACACACACACACAGAGAGAGAGAGAGAGAGAGAGAGAGAGAGAGAGATATGTCAAACTTATAACATCCTGTGGTTTTTGCGTCGGAGATAAAAAACCAATTATATCACAAGTAATATATGTTTAATTACTGTTAATAAAAATAAATTGCCGTGTCGGTCCTGGCATAGAACGGGCCACCCCTTCCTTTCCCGTGGGCGTCGTAAGAGGCGACTAAGGGAGTACAAGGGACGAGTAACAGCGTCCATCTTAAAATATCACTAAAAGCCTAACTGCGGTTGCCATCTCGCTTACCAAGCATGGCAACTACTGGCAAAACTGTTCTTCTGGGGAAGACTTGTGTTCAGCAGTGGACAGTTAAGGGTTGATGTGATGATAATAATAATAATAATAACACGTCATATCCCACCCTTCAAACCGAAACACAGCCATGCAAACACGACTGCTTCATCTCCTCCTCTCCGGTTGAAAAAAATAATACGAATGGGACAGTTTTTCTTTAGAAAAAATTATGAACTAAAGGACTCAACAAAATACGTACCGCTAATATTTTTTTTGACATGAATCTTTGTAGCAACAAAACTGTCTATTATTATACCCACTGGTTTAATTAGTTATTCTTCTGGAAGAGAATTCGGTTAAGCTCGCCTGGATCTTTATTTAATATAAATTATATATAACAAACACAACTAAATATTTTTAAAATCTGTCCAGCCGTTCTGGAGTTATAAACGGTGTAACTTATCCGACTTTGTTTTATTTATATAGAAGAAGTTAAAGTGAGATCATTTGTTTCCTCTTAGAGCCTTACGACTTAACCGATCAATATAAAATTTGGCATATCCAATGTTTTTAATGCAACTTAGAATGGCAAACAAGTTCACCGCTCATCTGATGGAAAGTGGTAACCGTCGCCTATAGATATGAGCAGTACCATGGACGTAACAGAGTATACTGTTTCGCCCATGATACCTCCATGCTTTGCCATTCCTGAGGACTCAGGTGTTATTCCTCTGTACTCTGCAAATTGATTGCCATGTCCCACCCGTCAAACTGAAACACACCCATGCAAATATAACTGCTTCACGGTAGAAACACGAATAGGACAGAGGTGACCAAGCAAACGACTTTTGTACAAAGTGAATACAATAAACATAATACTATATTAAACTATATATATATAAACCTTCCTCTTGAATCGCTATACCTATTGATGAAAACCATATTAAAATTCATCAAGTAGTTTAAAAGATCTAAGCGTACAGACGGCGAAAAGCAACTTTATTTTATACTACATATGGCTTTTTTTACAACACAGGGGGCAAACGAGCATGCGGCTCACCTGATGTTAAGTGAATACCGCCGCCCATGATCACCCACAACACCAGCGGCATTGCAGGTGTGCTGCCGGCCTTTTAAAAAAGGAATATACTCTTTTTCTTGAAGGTTATGTTGTCGTATCGGTTCGGAATTACTGTTGCTGGAAGTTGATTCCAAAGAATGGTTATGCGTGGAAGAAAGTGCCTTGAAAAACGCACGGTGGAAGACCGCCACGCCAAAGATTAGTTTTTATTTATTCACGTGACCGGGATAAAAAGTAGCTTCTTTATACATATTAAGGTGGCAAATAAACATACACCCCACCTGATGGAGAACTAGCTTAAGATTTTAAAAATCGCATATAGTACGTATATACTAAATTTCATATTAGTTGGTTATATCGTTATAGTGCTGAGGGGTAACAAACGAACTTCCTTTCATATATATAACACTAGTCAGGACATTTTTATCGTCTATTATAAGTACTTAGATTTTTTTATACAACTTAGAATGGCAAACAAGCTGACGGCCCACCTGATGGAAAGTGGTAAACGTCGCCTATAGACATGAGCAGTACCATGGACATAACAGAGTATACTGTTTCGTGCATATGTGTGAAAACATTCTGTCTATATAATCTAAAACTTGACCAATCAAATTATGGAATCGATTATTTAATTTAATTTCAAACTGCTTATAATTACTTCTCTCCATCCGAGGGTTGCCTGGAAGAAATCGCTTTTAGTGATAAGGTCACCCATTTGTTTTCCACTGTGATTATTTCTTGTAATTTGTTTGTATTGTAATCTTTTGGAGGAAATAATAAAGAATATCTATCTATCCATGATACCCCCCATGCGTTGCCATTCATATCCATATAAACGTAAGTACATATGTTTATTTACATATGTTTTATTAACATTAGCATTTTTCTTTTTTTATTAGTTACACTTCTTGCGCCATATAGCTATCATCTTTTTCTTTTCATTTCATTTCTTTCTACCCAAAGGTTGTCTGGAAGAGATTGCTTTAGCGACAAGACCGCCTTTTGTACTTCATAAGTGTAATATATATATTTAACTTTGTTCTATTCTTTAAGTAGTACAATAAAGAGTTAATAAATAAATATTTGTTTTATTTCTTATTGCATTCCATAATATAATTAGTAGATAACATTTCAATTATGGACCCTGTTGGGTACAGCAAGTACGAGAGAGGAGGACAACACTTTTTTCACTTTAGAAATAGTCTAAGGATCTGTTACAATATTATCCAGTCATTGATATTGTATCACGATAGATTTTCTTACTATTATTATTATTCATTATTTATATATTGGTGTGTATCTATTCATATCGTAATTGTTATTAGTATTATATAGTTATTTAATATGTTCTGTAGTTTATAATTATTTATATTAATATTGTAAAATTAATTAATAAATAGTTTAATAGTAAAATTTCTGCAATGTCAGTAAGTAATTCTTTAGAAGAATTCTTTAGAAGATTCAAGAATTTAACAATTGGTATAAGGGAAAGGAATAATACAACAAGATTATAAAGAAACAACAAAATTTATTTTTTAACGATTACTCAAACAACTCAACACTGGCATAAGTCCAGCGACTGAGGGATCAACCCATTACCTGTATCAATGTAGGCCATACCGTACGACGGTAGACTACCATCAACACCGATCACCCCATAAACAGGGAACGTGCCTTTAACTTTAATAACTCCACCCACTGGCAACGCCCCATCAATGGTAAGATCACCAAATTCAAGACTCGGCACTATTTCTGTTACTACCGGAGACAATTGGGTATTGGCTGCAATATTGGCAGAGTAAGTCGGTGCTACAGCTTGAGCTACAGTCCCGGTTAGTATAGCACCCTGAGCACTATTGGCCAAGTTTCCAAAAGTTGATCCGACAAGTACATCATTGTTCAATGCCAAATTGTTGCTTAAGCCCAAATTTCCGAATGTCGGTCCTCCTATAAGTCCACTGTTAAGATTGCCCAAATGACCAAATCCGGTGCCAATAAGTGCTTCGTTATTGAAACCGAAGTTACCGACAGTTGATCCAACAACTGTTTCGGAAACAGCGGTTGATCCAAGTTTATTTGATCCAAGGAGGCCGGTGCCAAGTCCGTTTGTCAAGCCCAATGCTGATCCAGAACCGAAGGATGGTAAATTGTTTTGTAATGGGATACTGAAGGCATGCTGAAATGAAGTTAGTAAATGTAAGAGTGTGTTATTATATTTTTACATATTAAATATATATAATAAATAGAAATAGATGGATTATAGTCTATTTTAATTAAACTTTATAAATATTGTAATAAATTTATAATTGTACAGTTACTGAAGTCAAATAAAAATATTAATTGATTGATTGTATGTTTCGATTTATTAATAATTATTATTAATATTTTTTATGAAATAAATAAATAAAAATTAATAATTACATATAGACTATTATTTACTAGTTTGTTTTCACAAAATATGACTCTCGTTAAATAAAAAAATTAAAAAATGATGTTATGAAATTTCCGAAAAAAAAAACAGCTATTTATATCGTAATAATATTAAAGTTGACTAGAAATCTTACTAAATCTTAATAAAACGCACGGTGCGTGGACGACGAATTTTTTATCTAATAAATTTATTTCAAAATATTTTAATTTAGAACGAGAAATTAGAGAAGAAATATGAATCGTATCGAAAACCTCCTTTGTTACTATAAATTGGTTTTAAAAAAAATTGTGTTCCACAAAAAAAAAACTAACCTCAATTGAGACAAAACTAGTTATTTTGTTTTAAAAACTAAACTATTGAACCGATTTTTACAGAATTTCTATAAAACGAATCTGTAAGCAGTTTCAAATAAAAATAAAAAAAAAACCAAATCGGTTCACAACTAACGGAGTTGTGAGGTAACAAACAAAAAAAAGTCCAATCGAAATAAGAACCTGCTATTTTATGAAGTCAAGTGATGATACAATAGTCAAACTTCAAAAACACTTACATTCAGTATTACAGATAGTGCGCAAACGAGCAATACTCCACGTCGAACCATTTTCGTTACTTCCCTTGTATGTGAGTTAGTGTTGACCGTTTATTTGCTTATATAAAAGGTATATTATCAAGAATTAGTACATTGAATATATTATACAATACTTTTATGAAACACTTTAAATGGAAATTGCGTGAGTTAATCATTTTTTTATCAGTGCGTAATGCGTAATTGGTATTGATTTGTCTTGACTTTCATTAAATAGTAGATAATACAGTGCGTGCTTGTTTATGCAATATTTCAACTTAGTTTTTTTTTTTTTTTTAATATGTAAAAATAGTGAGAGATAATGGTAACCCCGCCTGTGCTATCGGTATACACTAGCAAGGTATCAGTGTTTTTTAATGGATGATAATGGAATGGTAACCCCGCCTGCGTTAACAGGTATACGCTGGAGGAAAGGGATTGTTAGTAAAGAGGATTAGTAGCCCCATTGCTAGTAATATACCTTGACAGGTTGACCTCCTCGCGGTTCCCCCTGGAAACCATCGTGCTCAGTTCCAAGTGAATTCGTCACAATGGGCTAACTGACCTGCCTTTTCATTCTCACCTATCATTCCTCACTGGTCCCTCAGTGGGGTAAGGGAGGGGAGAGGATTGTTAATAATGCGGACTATCAGTCCCATTGTTAGCAATATACTCTGTTAGGTCGACCTCCACGTGCTCCGCCCTGGAAACCATCGTAATTGCAGGTGTATTTATCACAACGGGCTAACTGACCTGCCTTTTCATTCTCACCTATCATCCTTCACTGATGCCCCGCTAGTGTATGTGGCGTCTGTGAATAAATATTGTAAATATTCATCTTATAGCCACTTGTCAACATCATTACTTTCTTTTCCATCAAGTAGGTTAATTAAATTGTACATAGATATTTCACCTCTTTCTATCTTTCGCACTGGACGTACAGACATGACAGCGACGATTACTTCTTACATTCAATTCTGCTGTCATTCTCTCATTATATGTGAATATTCAAGTTAGTTGTTATTTATTTCCTCCAAATAATTATATGTATACCGACAGCGGAGGTGGTGTTACCATTTCATTATCATCCATTAAAAAAATAGATAAATTGTCTAGATTCGTCTGACATGCATTTTATTTCACGACTTTGCTCTATTCAAATCTATATTTGATTTAGGTCTCGATTATTTTTTTTTCAAGTACACTATCTAAGAAATAATTCTTGTAACAGGCAATTGTAGTTGTACCAACTTGCTTTTTTGTCGTATTTTGTTAATAGAGATAGTGGCTGAAAACCAACGCTGTGCAGCTGTACACATTGCACTGAGACACGCAGCTTCAGCTCAGGCTTTGGCCTGAAATTTTTTGTTGTAACCGTGTTATGTTGGTAGCCGCTGATGGCCTTTAGAGCTTCACCGGGCGTGTGTGCAGGGGTGAGTGCAGATGGCACTCCAAGCCCGCGAGAGGGGAGTGACAGAGGCGTCAGCTCTCATGGAATACGGCGTACGCCCAAGGGCGTACGCCCTTATCTTTATCTATTGAGCCCACAAGAAACTGTTGACAGTTGTTATAGATATTTCCTATGTACAGATATCGTTTATGTACAATTTTATTATATTAATAAGATAATAATAAATAAATATAAATACTCAAAATATTTAACGGAATGTATAACCTTCCCCTTCTTAAAGATTTTTTTATAAAATTTAGAATAACAAACATGCTAAAAGCGATAAACCTTCCCTAAGTCATTTTTTTATTGTAACTTTGAATGGCAAACAAGCTGACGGCCTACCTGATGGAAATTAATAATCGTCGTCTATAGACATGAACATTACCATGGACATAACAGAGTATACTGTTTCGCTGCTTCACGGTTGAAACACGAATAAGACAGAGGTACCTAAGCAAACGTCTTTTGTACAAAGTCTCCCTCTGGTGTATGTCTATACGGAATGTCATGTCTGTGAACAGCATCGCGGATTTAATAAACGCAGGGCCATGGTATTAATTTTATATGTGACAATGACCAATTTCTATCAGGGCTGACAGCTTCTATGCCATTCCGTAGCATAAAAAAACCTAGACGTGAAATAGAATACGATAGATTAGAAAATATTTATTGCCAAAATAATACAATTACAATAGAAAATACATTTTTTTTATATATATACAACTTAGAATGGCAAACAAGCTGACGGCCCACCTGATGTAAAGTGGTAACCGTCGCCTATAGACATGAGCAGTACCATGAACATAACAGAGTATACTGTTTCACCCATGACACTCCCCATGCGTTGCCATTTCTAAGGACTCAAGTGTTATTCCTCTGTACCTTGTAAATTCACGCCTTGTTATCCTACCCTTCAAAGAAACACAGCCATGCAAAACAAACGGTTGAAACACGAATAGCCAGAGGTTTATCGCTTTTAGCAATCGACTTTTGTATTCTAAAGTCTCTCTCTAAAAAAATGGTTTAAAAAAAGGTCATCACCCATTTGATATTACCAGTTTATATCTATATTAACTTGTTATCGTGGTCTAATATAATAAATATATTGTAATAAATGAATCTATTATGGAAATATTTATTCAGTAAGACTATAGACAAGTAATATTAACAGACAAACAATATTAATATATTCTCAATTTGACCGCAGCATTTATTAAATTAACGGTAAAAAAATATTTTAAAAACAATCTTTTATTATGCACGACAAATAAAAAAAAGTTAAAGTTCCTATGGGCATCTTCCAACTCTTCGTCAGATCAGCTCCATGATACCATATTTTTGTATTGTTATTCGTTACATGCACATACCAAATTTTAATCGGTCCACAAGAACAAGTTTAATTTTTAAATATCAGACCACCTTTAAATTATTGTCATATGTATTTGTAGAGAGTTTCAGCTCAATCTCTATTGAGTGGTTTAAATCTTTTCAAAGATTTGTAATCATACAAACATACATACATAAAAAAATTAAATAAAAGCTTGTAATAAAAATAAACAAAGATTATTTGAATTTTATATATGAGAGATGTTTGTACAAGCAATATACATTTTAGTGTGTGTAATGCTTTATGATATATATATATATATATATATATATATATATATATATATATATATATATATATATATATATATATATATATATATATATATATATATATGCATTCCCTCTTTGTACAAACTATAAGTGTGCCAAATTTCATACTCCTCCGTCTGCGTAATTTTCTAAAAAAAACTTAGTTTTTGTTTCATTTATTAACATTTGCAAATAAAGTATGCAAGTAATATAAGCATGTATGAAAGAAACCATATATAATAGTGAGTGTCCATAAAGTTAAGTTAATTGATATATAATTAAAATATATCCGATTATTAGAACAATATATAAATATTGTACTACAATATATACATACATATATATATATATATATTGGTATGTATTACCCAACTCGAGTACCTACATATAGGTAGTTTTTAATTTATCATAATGTTTGTACAAGGCTGGACTCTTTAAGATAGCTTATCGTTAAAAATATCACAATTTAAAAAAAAATGTTATTTCTCAATACAAATATATCATTGATAAAGTGCAATTTACGTAGAATCAATTAAAATAATAAATTATCGATTGCATATGGAAAATGTGCGTAAAGTGATTGGGCACGTACTTTGATATAGATAGAAAACATATGGCCAATCCAATGGAGAGGGCTTTTTTTTAATGGGTGATAATGGAATGTTAACCCCAAGGGATTGTTAGTAATGGAGACTGAGAATCTCATTGAAGGATGATAGGTGAGGATGAAGCAGGTCAGTTATACGAATTCAACAATTCACGATGGTTTCGACCTCCTGATATTGCTGGCAATGTTGAACTCCATTGCTAACAATCCCTTTCCCCCCAATGGAGAGGGCTATGCTCGGAGTCTCTTTACGTGATAGAATCCGAAATGAAGATATCCGCAACGAAAACAAAATAATAAGGAAGAATAAAATAGAAAATAAAAATAAGAAGGAAGGATAAGCAAGCAAGCAAGCGAAGAACCGACAACCGATGAGAATTTTCATTCTCATCGACCCTTCACAAATGCAGTGTTGATGCCCCGCTAGATGGAGTGACGACCGATTAAGTGAATTTACAGGGTACAGAGGAATAACACCTGAATTGAATAGCAATGTTGAACTCCATGGGCGAAACAATCCTCTTATGTCCATGGTACTGCTCAATGGATAGGCGACGATTACCACTTTCCATCAGGTGGACCGTCAGCTTGTTTGCAATATTGTCAGTAATCTTGACGTGATAGATATTCTAGATATTATATATGAAGATATCTGGTTGTGTATATACTCAAAATCGGAAAACAAAATAATCGTACATGACGTGGTTAATTCCTAGTAAATTTACAATGATTGGCCAACTGGATAAGCAAGCAGTGTAAATAAGCGAAGAACCATTAAAAAAACAACCGCTTATGATACAGAATGAAAAGTTCTTGAGTGGCGACCCTGTACTGATAAAATTCTGGCAGTTTTTTACGAATGAAAATGAAATGGTAACCTTGAATGCGCTTTCGGTATACACTGGCGGGGTACCAATAAGGAAATATAGGTGAGGATAAAAGCAGGTCAGCTGACCCATCGTGACGAATAGTAAAAATAGTAAAAAATTAACACGATGGTTTCATGGGCGAAACTGATATATTTTTAACCTCTGTTGTGTTTGTGGTTATTATAATTCATGTTCAAAATTATAGGAAAAATGGTTAAAAAATAAATTTGAAAACTATATATATATATATATATATATATATATATATATATATATTTATTTATTTATTTATTTATTTATTTTTCTGCAATGGACATTAAAAAGGTAATGAAACACGATCAACTTAAAGGGAACTTGTTCTTTTATATAATTTTTGGGCATTCAATGTTATGATGGAAATCTCCATCATTATGTAAAGAAGGGTTTTTTTCAGGGTGATAATGTTGACTAAGGACCAGTGAAGGGCGATAGATTGTTAGCATCATGATGAATTCATAGAATTATATATATAGATAGGTCGATCTGGTTGTGTATATACTCAAACAGATCGATCTACACCCGAAACCCGAAACCATCGTGCTGAATTCCAAGTGTATTCATGACGTGGTTAATTCCTAGTAAATTTACTATGATTGGCCAAATGATTCCGTCATCGATGTTTTGACGTCCCTCACGTGGTTGTCCATTCCTCTACCACAAACTCCCTTAGTTGCCTTTTACGACAGTCACGGGAAAGGAGAAATGGCGTATTCAATGCCGGGACCTACACGGCTATAGTCTCCCCATATCGTGTGGTTTTAAATGATAAGAGTTGATAATACCCACTCGTCTCCCTGAGACAAGTATACCTCCATGTAAGATGTAAAGAAATTAGATACATTGTGTATAAATGGATGGATGAAGTTAGGATTGTTAGTGCCGGAGACTAATAAAGCAATTGCGAGGGGAGAAGGCATTGTTGCTAATGGGCTTTAACAACCCTGCTGATGTCCAATCTTTAACTAATACAGTGTTTTGAGATACGAGCCGCCGAGCGAGCGATATTTTGCTTTGAGATGAGAGCAAGATTTGAGATATGAGGAATCGTACACTACACTGCACACGACCCCAACATGCGGGGTGGACGTTGGTGTTGGTCTAACAGTTTCTCCTACCTCAGACTAACACTTAACAAAAACAACTGAGGTGGTTTTTTGGAAGTACGGGATAATGGCGTTTCAATTAATTTCAATGGGGAAAATTGCTTTGAGATACGAACAATTTGACATACGAGCAAGGTTACGGAACGAATTAAACTCGTATGTCGAGGTATCACTGTATTATAAATGCGAATGTGAGTTTGTTCATTTAATACACTTTCACGTCTAAATCGCTAAACAGACTGTTATGTATTTTGGTATAGAAATAGATCGGGCCCTGGAGACGGTTATAGGCTACTTTTATTCCGGTTAATGAGCACATCTCGGTCATAAGGACGAAGTCGCGTGGGAAAGCTGGTAACAGTATAAATAAAAAATCAATTAATTGTATCAATGGATAGATAGATACTCTTTATTGTTTCCTCCATAAGATTACAATAGTAAACTTATTATAGATACAAACAATATATTAATTATTGTTATTAATTTCATTTAGAAGGTTTCTGTTATAGTCTGCAACTAAACTTGATTAGATCGAAAAAGCTCGACTAATTTCGGAATCAATTCGTGATCCTTAGTCATAAGTGACTGTGACGCGAGTACGAGCCTTTTTAGACTTTTTCGATCTAATTACACGTAAGTTAATAATTCGGGTCGGGTTACCATTCCATCATCAAATAAAAAGAAACTGCTGATATGATGATGATGATTATTTATTTATTTATTTAACTCTTTATTCCACCATAAATAAATATATACAATGACAAGTGAATAATTCAAGTGAAATATAGTAACATAAATACAGATTGAAATATACACATAAAGGTACAAAAGGCGGTCTTATCGCTAGGGCAAACTCTCACAGACAACCTTTGGTTAAAGGAGAACAGATAGAAAAGGGCAGGTGGCGCAAGAGTGAATTAATAATTATTCCTATATTGATCTCATGCCTGCTGGTTATAATGGTTTCAATTTCAAATATTTTCGATATTTTTTTGTTGTGTTTACGAAGCATCACGTTTTTTATAAATATGTTTTATCAAGACTGTATTAGTTGTTTTTTTGCAATGGAAAACACTTGGCTGTCTATTTCTTTATTAATTACTGAGTATATAGTGTCTGCACCAGATACATTAAAAAAAAAAACACAAATAAAAAACAATAATTTATTAAAACTACAGTAGTTACATAAATAATACTTCTTAATACATAACGCCTGAATACACATTGTTGATTCCAAAGTTATTGTGATCTAATTTATTGTAAGCTTGAACATAAGCATCTAAAGCTGAACCAGTCAATTCGTTGGCAATGCCCACATTACCATCTCCACAAGCACAACTTGCAATACCGTAACCGTTTGTAGGCACAGAGCCTTCCAAAGCCACAGTGCTCAAAAACGGCAGTGTTCCCGTGACAGTCACTGGGCCTTCGATGATCAAATTATCTGAGTACACTGATAACCCTGTCGGAACAGAAGGTGAGGTACTGGTTACGGAAAGTATGCCTTTATAACTTGCACCATCAACTAATCCACCAGCATTAGCTGTCAATCCACCGGTTAATGCATTTCCCGCCAAAATATTTGAAGGTACATTATTAGTCACTGGTGCGAGGAATTGTCTACCAAATTGATTACTTGCTAAAGTATTTCCAATTAAGTTAAGGTCGATGTTATTTTGCATTAGGTTCGTATTATCAAATGCGTAATTGGTTCTTGCCAGATTACTATTTCCAAATGCGTTTAGGTCAATACTGTTTTTTGCTAAATTGGTATTACCAAATGCATTTAGATCGATGTTGTTTCTAGCAACATTGTTAATTCCAAATATGTTTAAATCGATATTGTTCTTTGCCAGATTAGTACTTCCAAATAAATTATTGCTTTTTGCTAGATTGTTGCTTCCAAATCCATTTTGATTAATATTGTTTTTTGCTAGGTTGTTACTTCCAAATGCGTTTAAGTCGATGTTATTTCTCGCTAGACTATTACTTCCAAATGCGTTTAAGTCGAGGTTATTTCTTGCTAGATTGTCTATTCCAAATGTGTTTAAGTCGATATTATTTCTCACTAGATTATTATTTCCAAATGCGTTTAGAACGATATTATTTCTTGCTATATTGTTACTTGTAAGTGCATTTGACCCAAAATTCTTGCTTGCTACATTATTGGCATATGCGTTTGATGCGATAATATTTGGACTTAATGCGATCCTCCCAACGTTGTTTGTTGCCGTATTGCCTTTGTTTAAGTACTGGGAATTTACCATCTGAAATATTAAACACTTAGTTTAAATAATTAAATTGTTGATACAACCTGTGAAAAAATATACATTTCAACTGGAAAATAGAACTATAAAGATTTATTCTATTTCTTATAAATATTATAAAAGTGAAAGGTTGTAGAGTTGGATGGATGGAAGTGTTATTCTCTTTCACGCAAAAATTACTATACGAATTTGAATTAAATTTGGTACATGGGTATGTTATATCCTGATTTAGTACATAGGATTTGTACTGGTACAAACGTAGCCGCGAGATTTAGCTAGTTATTTATTAAATTACAAAATAAGAATAAAAAACAGTGTCTAAGAATTATTATAATGTGTAAAATGAACTACTTGATATGTAATAAATAAAATTATGTATTGAAATTTTATTTATTATAAATAATAGTCACGTATTTAAAAATTAAATTGTGTCCCACAAAAAAAAAAAACTTCTATTGTGGCAAAACAATTTTTTTTTTATTTAAAAACGAAACTGCTAAACTGATTTTGATAACATTTCTATGGAATTAAATTTTAAATATATCTTTTCAGATAAAAAATGAATTTTCCATGTCGGTATGCAACTAACGGAGTTATGTATTAACAAACATAAAAAAATACAACCTAATTGAGAATCTACTTCTTTTTGAAGTCGGTTAAAACATAATTTACTTTAATGGTAGAGATCAAATACCTTGTTAACAAATAGAGGAAAATGTACATTTTAAATAATAAAAAAAAAATATTAAGAAAAATACGCTCGATTAATATAAAACTGGCATTCTACAATTATATAAAAAAAAAAAACCAAACCGATACCTGTGCTAGAAGAGTAAAATAAAAAATATTAAAGTATTTTGGCGCCATAATTTTAGTAATTCATCAGATTATGATCTGAATTCGAGGAATGATTTTGTACAATTGATTACTGTATGCACGATCACTTAGTTTATATTACAATCATGTATTACTAAACGAATAACAATTGTTACATTTAAAGATAACCTATCCAATGCTAAATTTACATAACGTGTTGACATAATTTTTTTTTTCGTATTACAGGATAGAGATTAAGGTAAGTAATTATAATAATTTTTGTAATATATAGGTGTTGCTTTCAAATTAAATATTACAAAATCCTAACGCATATAAATAGGTTAGCGTGCGAATGTTTTTTTATCATTGTTCTAAACATGGCTCGTTTAGCCATTTTGGTGTTATCACTACAGGCATACTGTTTTCAGGTAATATTATTATTTATTGTTTTTTTTTTTAATATATAATAATGTAAAATTGTATTACACAAAAAAAAATGACTACAATAATGTCACTATAGACCTTTTTTTTTTTATTTAAACAATAAATGACCCAGTCTTCATATCACCTACAACGCCATCTATTGAAAGTAATTCAAAGTAGTGCTTTTTCTACTAAATTACCTATTTTTATTTTTCCTTTCCTTTAGCTGGGCTTTAAAGACATTCCGACTTTTAAACCACCCCTGTATTACAACAAATAAAACGAAAAAAAAAATTCAATTTGTATAAGCGATTTTTGAGTTTTAGCGCGACTAACAAACAACAATTGATTTTTATGTCCTTACTAATATTAGAAATGTGAAAGTGAGTTTGTTTGTTTATTACCCTATAGCGCCTTAACGGCTTAACCAATCACGATGAAATTTGATATACACATACTATATGGGTTGGAGAAGGATACAGGTTACTTTGTATTTCGGTCAGTAAACATATCCCGGTCACGCGAACAAAGTCGCGGGTTTTTTTTATACAACTTAGAAGGGCAAACAAGCTGACGGTCCACCTGATGGAACGTGGTAGCCGTCACCTATAGACATGAGCAGTACCATGGACATAACAGAGTATACTGTTTCGCCCATGATACCGTCCATGCGTTGCCATTCCTGAGAACTCAGGTGTTATTCCTTTGTACCCAGTAAATTCACGCCATATCCCACCCTTCAAACCGAAACACAGCCATGCAAACAACTGCTTCACGGTAGAAACACGAATGAAACAGAGGTACCCAAGCAATCGACTTTTGTACAAAGTCTCCCTCTCGTTAACTGTATCCCGTGGCTTTCTATACGTGGATCAATATGTAATGCATCCTGTCTGCTAAATTAGAATATAATCTATCAGTGTAGCAAATTTCTTTAAAATTCGTTCAGTAGTTTTTGCGTGAGAGAACAACAAATATCCATGCGAACAAACTTTCACAGTAGTAGTATTAAATGTAAAAATATCTTTGAAGGTAACAAAATTACATTTTTTTTACGATTATCCATTTTATTTTCAGAATGCACTCAGCATTTGCCCTTGTATGGAAGGGCTGATGGGAGTGAACCTCGCTGATCGATTCCTGGGGAAGTCTAACCTTGGTTCAAGTTTACTTAATGCCGAACTGGCAGCAGGGGCCTTAAATCCTCTTCCAACCAGTAGTTTTGGACCTTTTGGTCCTAATACGGCAACAGCTGAACTTGCTTCACTTAGGTTTGGAGGGGGCTTAGCTGGTGCTGAGATTGCAGCTGGTTTAGGGGGCGGTTTTGGTCCTGGTTATGGCCCAGGGATTGTTGGTGCTGAATTAGCCGCTACTGGTCTTGCAGGAGGATTTGGAGCCGGTTTGGCTGGTGCAGAAATTGCTGCTGGTTTAGGGAGTGGTTTGGGCCATGGTTATGGCCCAGGGTTAGTTGGTGCTGAACTAGCAGCAGTTGGTCTTGCAGGAGGATACGGTGCTGGTTTGGCTGGCGCAGAAATTGCTGCTGGTTTAGGGAATGGTTTAGGTCATGGTTATGCCCCAGGGCTAGTTGGTGCTGAACTAGCAGCAGTTGGTCTTGCAGGAGGATATGGTGCTGGTTTGGCTGGTGCAGAAATTGCTGCTGGTTTGGCTGGTGCAGAAATTGCTGCGGGTTTGGCTAGTGCGGAAATTGCTGCTGGTTTAGGAGCCGGTATTGGCCCAGGTATTGTTAGCGCTGAATTAGCTGCTGCTGGTCTTGGAGGAGTATATGGTGCAGGCTTAGCTGGTGCTGAATTGGCAGCTAGTTTAGGCGGTCCTGGGTTTGGAGCTGGATTAAGCAAATCAGAACTTATTGCATTATTATTAGCAAAAGGAATTGATGGTTCCGAAAATAGATATGGTTTGACAAAAGCGGAATTAGCTGCTGCTTTAATTGGGGGCTTGGGTGGTCCAAGATATGGTCCTGGATACGGCCCCGGATATGGTCCAGGATTTGGCCCTGGCGTTGGTTCTGGTTTTGGTCCCGGTTTCGGTCCCGGCTTCGGCCCTGGCTTCGGTCCTGGTTTCGGTCCTGGTTTCGGCCCCGGATTTGGCCCAGGATTTGGTCCTGGATTCATTGAAGGTGCCGGAGTCATTGAAGAAATAGTTGGAGGATATGGCCCTGGTCCCATATATGGCCCTGGGTTCGGTCCCGGTTATGGCCCTGGATTTGGGCCTGGATATGGTCCAGAATTTGGTCCTGGATTTGGCCCAGGGTTTGGCCCCGGATTTGGTCCAGGAATAGGCCCCGGAATAGGTCCAGGATTTGGCCCTGGATTTGGTCCAGAATTTGGTCCAGGATTTGGCCCTGGAATTAATCCAGGATTTGGCCCCGGATTTGGTCCTGGTTTTGGACCCGGACTTGGTCCCGCCTTTGGTCCTGGTTTTAGTCCCGAATTTGGATATGGTCCTGGCTACGGATATGGAGCACCTTTAGTCTATTAACGAAATTCATAGAAATATTATTCATGACTGATACGTTTTTTAATATTTCATCAGAATTATTACGTATTTTTCTGATATTGAAATGTCTTATCTACTATTTAAAAATAAATTTCTTTTAAGTCATATTATGTGTTTGTTATTTAAATAAATTTTGTTGTATAATTTTTAACCGATTTCAAAAAGAAGGAGGTAGAGAACCTCCTTCTTTATTTGTATTTTTATGTTTATAGTAGTACCGACGTAGAAAATTCTTTTTTCATGTAAAAGGATAAAAAAAAGATAATACCTTATAGAAATTTTATCAAAATCAGTTCGGTAGTTTACTTTTAATTCAAAATTTCTAAAAAAAAGTAAAAAAAAATACCTTAGTTGTAACAAAACCAGTTTTGCTACAATTGAAGTAGTTTTTTTTTTTTTGGAAATTGTGATTGAATTTATTATTTCTTTATATTTATTATTAATTTATTACTATTTTTTTCATAAACAATGATGAGTACTGTTCATATAAGTATATAACTATGGTACCAATCATAAATAAAGTTATTTCAATACTTAGTAATATTATAAATATAAATGTGAAACTGAATTTGTTTGTTTAATTCCTCTTATTTATTTATTTAAACTTTATTGACCGTTAAAATGTGATAAAGGCGGACTTAATGCTGTAGACATTCTTTACCAGTCAACCTTTAGAATGTGCATAGATGGATGGATCGACGGCGGTATAAAAAATATATAAATGTTTTTGTATAAGATGGTAATTACATACATACAAACATTCTGAAATTACATACATATTAATACAGTTTTTATATATTATTACCAACAAATAAAAACACACATACATACATTTACGTATAATGAACTACTGCGTATTTAATTACTTTTTTTATGCAACTCAGAATGGCAAACATGCTGACGACCCACCTGATGGAAAGTGGTAACCGACGTCTATAGACATGAGCAGTACCATGGACATAACAAAATATATTGTTTCACCCATGATACACCCTATGCGTTGCATACTTGTTTTGATTCGGAGAATTCAGTAGGTGAGAAGTTAAGAAGAGCGTTTAGTACTCTTCTTAAAGGCTAAATTATTAGACAGGGCACATATCCTCTGAATGTATTTATACAGCTTAACCAATCACATTAAATCTAGTATACACATATTAGGAAAAGATGGTATAAGGCAGAGAGAAGCACAAAGGATCCCGATGGGTCGACGTGCAACGGCTTAACTTTTTTTTTATACAATTTAAATGGCAAACAAGCTGACGGCCCACCTGATGGAAAGTTGTAACCGTCGCCTATAGACATGAGCAGTACCATGGACATAACAGAGTATACTTTCTCGCCCATGATACCCCCCATGCGTTGCCATTCCTGAAGACTCAGATGTTATTCCTCTGTACCCTGTAAATTCACGCCATATCCCACCCTGCAAACCGAAACACAGCCGTAGAAATGAATTGCACAGAATGAGACAGAGGTACCCAAGCAATCGACTTTTGTACAGTCTCCCTCTGGTAGCTTACCCCATATGCGAATATAAGACAGTATACACATACTATATGAGATAGAAAAGGAAAGAGAATAATAATACAACTTTATATCCTGGTCAGTAAAAATGTTTCTGTCACGCGGCTGAAGACGCAGGTAAAAGTTAATAATTAATAATAGATGAATTTTACTCCAATAAATCAGTCTTCCAATGTGACGAAATTGCTAAGTAACGGATAGACATTCTGTGGATTAGGTACGAAAATAATTATTTAAACTGGCAACAATTTTTAATAATACGTAACATTTGTTTGTGTAAATAATATAGACAAAAAAAGTCTCTTTAGGCAGTTTATCAAAAATAAAACCTCGACATGAACGAAAATAAAATGCTTAAAATTATATACTGCTATACATTTGGGACATAAAGTTAAAACAATGATTATTTTGTAATAGCTATGAATAAAAAGTATATAACTAAGAGCTATAAATAACAAAAGGAAATTTTTTTAATATTCATCAGAGAAAGATTACTATTACACAAAATATATGCATAAGAAAAAGGTAAATACATAAAAACACCCCATAGACAAGGTACAAATGAGTCTATCGGTAGAATCGTAGTATAAAAACGTAATAGATTCATTTCGGTCAACGTTAAAGTAAGAGAGAAAAAGACAGTGCATTTCGCTATCTTATTAATCTTATGCACTCGCTAACAATGATAAGTCTGTAAATAGATTCATTTGTACTTTGTCTAGGAACTAAAATGTTTATATCTATCCGGAGTTTCACAGTCAAAGAGTTAGGACTTTACATTCCCATATATTAATAAAAGTACATCATCACTTAAAACGTAAATTATATTTATGCTATAGACGACGGTTATTATTTTCCATTAGGTACGGCGTCAGCTTGTTTGTCATTCTAAATTGAATAAAAAAAAGATGTAAATAATGTCGTAGTAGACAATTGATCTGCTTTCATTGTAACTAATTATCGCTCACTGGTGCCCCACCAGTTTATATAGATGATGTAAACAAGTTTACCATTCCAAACTCATTAATTAAAAAAGAAATTATGAGTTGATTTATTGTTTAAATTAAATGTTAAATGAATCATTTCATAGTTTTATAGCCACCTTGCCACCACTTACCTTAGTCACAGGTTGACAGTGACTTTGGTAAGGCAATTTGACATTGACAGTAGTTGTCTCTATGATCTGTGTTTCTTGCTTTGTTTGTATTATAATTAAAAATCAAATTTGTTTTATTAAAATAAATATAATGGTATCCTTTTTATTTCCTTAATAACAATAAATTCACCTCTACACGATAATTACATATGAAACAATATGAGTAATATATACATTCAGGAACCGCCCGCTTTAGGCAAAGTGAGTATTGTTATCATTAAATTTGTATTTATTAATTAAAATATTCTTAAAAGATCGTAAGTATTATATAAAATATCTGACATTTTAAGCAAGTATCTTGTGTTTTGTTCACTTTCGTAATTCGATCCACGACTTACCATCACATTCCAAAATACTTTACCCAATTGTGTTCTTATTTAAAATGAAAACGTTCGTATTATTTCTGTAGATACTATTTTGTGAAATTGAAATTGTATTTTTTAATCGACTTCAAAAAAGCAAGAAGTTTGCAATTTGGTTGTATCTTTTGTAACCATAGAATTCCGTCATTTTGGTAATTATTTTTTTATATGAGAGGATATACTTTCAAGGTGGTCTTATAGGAATTTCATTAACAGCTCATTCTTTTTTTCCCATACAATTGATGGGTTATTTTTTTATCCTGGCCATTGAACATATTCTGATCACATGCTCATATAAACAAGTCACAGGTGAACTAATAAAACATGTAATTCAAATGAGAGCCTCTTTTTTGAAGTTGGTTAATTCTACCAGTAAAAACATTATTGTGTGAAATGCTTTAATATTTTTCAGGTTTTACTAAAAACAACTGCTGGAGAGATAGATATCGAGCTATGGACGAAAGAGGCCCCCAAAGCTTGTCGCAACTTCATACAATTGTGTATGGAAGGATATTATAATGGTTAGCCAAACATAGAAACCATAATTTTGAATCAGTGATGATGAATCAGAAGTTACAATTCAGGATTTATAGCCTTTTTACAGTTTTTATCTTTGTATACATCTGACTCTACTGACCATCATAATGACTCTCTTATTCATAAAAATATTTAACTTTTCATGAACCTATTTTAGTTATTTAATTGTTTTGTCTCTTTCTTTTATGCTCCATTCTTAATGTGAAAGAAAGTGACAAAACAGTGTAATAGTTAAAATAGGTTTGTAGGTTTTAATTTTTATAAATAAGGGGATATTTATATAGTTTTTTTATGCAAGTTAGAATGCCAAACAAACTGACGGAAAGTGGTAACCGTGGCCTATAGATATGAGCAGTACCATGGACATAACAAGTGTACTGTTTTGCCCATGATACCCCTCATGCATTGTCATTCTTGAGGACTCAAGTGTTATTCCTCTGTACTCTGTAAATTCACACCATATCGCACCCTTCAAACCAAAACATAGTCATGCAAATACAACTGCTTTACGGTTGAAACACGAATAGGAAAGAGGTACCCAAGCAATCGACTTTTGTACAAAGTCTCCCTCTGGTAATCTCCATAATTTCTTATAAATACCTATAGGTGTTTGTCAGATTTTCTTGTACTTTTTCCCAGGCACAATATTCCATCGTGTGGTACCAGGATTCATTGTGCAAGGTGGGGATCCAAATGGGGATGGAACGGGTGGAGAGTCTGTATATGGAGCCCCATTTAAGGTAAAATCCATGTTAGTTACTTATATAAGTAACATATATATGTCCTATTTATTCACTTGTCCACTTCCCATGGACAAGTGACAAATTGATCTATTGATAGATACAATATCGCTATTACATGCTTGAGATAGAATGAGACAGCAATGTCTGGTGTCTTGTTCTTTCTTGTATAGAAAGCAGTTTTATGGACACCAAAATTATCATATTTTCTATCAAGTAAATCATCAGATTGTTCACTATTATGGGGAACAAAAAATGATCAAGTGAAGTGTTTCATTCACCACCAATTTGGTGAATTGCAGAATATATTTTCTTTCACACTACCACACCAAGTACTGGGTCTTCAACCTAGGATACCTTGTATTATGATAAACTGGACAACAAACGTCAAGGAGCAAATCAAACAGTCCTGAGCCAATTCAAAAAAGTTTGCCCAACACAGCATTGAACCCGAAACCTCATCTCGCATCACACAGAGTCACGTGCTCACTATTGCACCACATAGGTCGTTAATACATTGACTACTTTATTTAAGTCCATAATATATCAAATTTGTTGACAGGACGAGTTCCACTCTCGGCTCCGGTTCAACCGGCGTGGACTGGTTGCGATGGCCAATGCTGGGAAGGACGACAATGGGTCCCAATTTTTCTTCACACTCGCCGCCACACCTGAACTACAAAATAAACATACCATTTTCGGAAAGGTCACAGGTTAATTACTGCTTCTAATATTACTATTATTCGTGTGATAGCTTCGCCATCTGGTGTCAACAGTTTCTAGGTCACCTTTAATCTATATAAAGTCTCTCTGATAGGGCTTACTGGGTATTTGGGCATGTGTGTGTTGGTTTGCCCTTGCAGATTGGATAATTCCAAGTTTACTTTACTGGGTTTGCAATAATAACGAATATTTTCTTGATTCGGATACGATTTTAATACGTAAGCAAATGAAGTATATAAATTTACAATATTTTTGTATACATATGAAAAAAAAGAGGTGACAGTATATACATACATACATACATATCTGTCACGCCTGTCTCCCATTAGGGTAGGCAGAAACAATGGAACGCCAAATGCTTCGATTCAAACAAACCTCTTTCGCTTCTTCCACATTCATCAATTTTTTCATACGCTCGCCGGTTACGGGTACTTTTAATTTGGCCCTTTTTCAGCACGTCGCCTATTCGGTCGACAAACGTCCGTCTAGGGCGGCCCCTACCGACATCTCCATTCATTCTTGCTCGATAAATCTCTTTCGTAATTCTTCTTTCATCCATCCTCTCCAAATGACCACGGTATATAATTCCAGTAAAATATAACAAAAGACGTGAAGGTAGCTGCTGGTTGGTTTTTAATGGGTGATAATGGAATGGCAACCCCATCCGCGTTATCGGTATACACCGGCGGGGCACCAGTGAGGGATGATAGTTGAGGATGAAGCAGGTCAGTTAGCCCATCGTGACGAATTCAACAAGAATTGTTTACGATGGTTCCCAGGGGGAACCACGTGGAGGTTGACTTAATAGGGCAAATTGCTAACAATGGGGCTGTCAAATTCCATTGCTAACAATCCCTCCCCCCAGCTGCTGGTCGGTAGGTCGTCGAAATTTGCTCCATACTTCACGACGCTTGCAGCAACCATAGATTATGCAGTAACACTGAGTTTATATGGTCTCCGAAGCGCAAAGTAACAGACAATTTTTAATTTACTTAAATAAAAAATATTTACAAAGTAAATGCATTGAATCTATGTTTTGTATAATTTTTACAGGTGAGACAATATACAACGTTTTAAAACTCAGCGAGGGTCTGATAGGCCCGGACGACAGGCCTGAACATCCCCACAGGATCACCAGCACTACAGTGTTAATTAATACATTCACGGACATAGTGCCACGCGTCACAGAGACCAAGGTCGAAGAGGCACCGAAAAAGAAGAAAAAGGAGCGGCAGGGGGTTAAGTTAGTAGTTTTAAAAATAATCATGTGAAAAATAAAAAAAAAGTAAAAAAATAAGCATTTATAATAATGTAATCCGCCATTTTGCAATTTTAAAATGATGTCATTTATTTTGTCGTTGTCTACTCTTCAAGCTCTTTCATTTGATAACTAAAATAAAAGGTTTAACAAAATATACACCGTCCGCCATCTTGTGGTGGCGGCCATTTTAAAATATCATAATATCGCCAAAGGGAGACTTTGTACAAAAGTCATTTGCTTGGGCAGCTCTGTCCCATTTGTATTTCTACCGTGAAACAGTTGTGTTTGCATGGCTGTGTTTCGGTTTGAAGGGTGGGATATGGCAGTGAATTTACAGGGTACAGAGGAATAACCTGAGTCCTCAGAAATGACAACGCATGGGGAGGGGGGATCATGAAGGAATACTCTGTTATGGTACTGCTCATGTCTATAGGCGACGGTTACCACTTGCCATTAGGTGGGCCGTCAGCTTGTTTGCCATTCTAAGTTGTATAAATGAAAAAAAAAATTAAGTATTGTATTGTCACCAGTACTATTCCATATTGTAACTTCGTGTGATCTAGTTTTTAATCAATTTTGAAAAAGGAGGAGGTATTAAGTTCGGTTGTATTTTTTTTATGTTCGTTACCTCATAACTCTATCATTTATAAACCGATTTCCAATTAATTTTATAGAATTTTTAATTTAAAGTTTATTAAAAATCAGTTTAATAGTTTAATTATGGCTTTTAGATCAAAACAACTGGTTTTGCTACAACCGAAGTCGATATTTTTTATGAAACACAAATCATATCTGATTAACAATAACAATATCTTTTTATCGCTATCAGAAACTTCGGTCTACTATCGTTTGGGGAAGAAGCGGAAGAAGACGAAGGCGAGGCACAAGAATACAGAGGGAAGCCTAAGTCCACTCACGATCTTCTAGAAGATCCAAAACTTAGCAAGAAAACAGCAGCTGGTACGCATCGCCTATTCCATTTTTAACAAGCTATTAAACTGTAGGAGGAATGTGTTTGTACTATAAAAACGCATGTGTGTATGGATGTTTGTATGGATGTATCTTCATATTAGCTATTATCTGTCCACTGCTGAACATAGGCCTCTATACCTTTTGTATTGCCAGTAGTTGCCACGTTTGACAGGCGGGTTGACAACCGCAGTTAGGCTTCGGTGATGTTTTAAGAAGAACGCTACTGCCCATTCCTCGACCATTAAGTTCCCTTAGTCGCCTCTTACAGCAACCACAGGAAAGGAAGGGATGGCCTAATCTATGCCGGGACCACACAGTTGTATGTTTGTTTGTATGGTATGGATGTTTGTGACATTTTACACACAAACTATTGAATGGAATTGATTGACAAATGCTACATGAATGGTTATGCCCTAAATATATATTAATTTTGTTCCAGAATTAGAGTTGGAAGAACAAAATGTGAATGAAGAATCGAACGAAGAAATAGAAGAGAAGAAACAAAGGACTGCAGAGGCAGTTAGTAATATAAGAGACAAACTCAAAACAAAAAGAGAAAGGAGTCCAGAAGTTGAAAGTAGAAAAAAGAAGAAAGATACAGAAGGAGAAGAGAGTTCGGAAGAAGAGTATTATTTAGGAAAAGATAGGGATATCGAGAGACAGAAAGAGAGGTGGGTAGAGCACTTCTTTATTGATAACTAGCATCTTGTTACAGCTTCGTATGCGTAGATAGGTAGAAGATTTTTGGAATGGGTTATATTTTATATACATTTTCTTCTGTAATGTGCAAACTGATATAAAAGTTTTTTCAAAATTATTTCACCTATATAAAAGCTATAATATCAGCAAGTAATATAGGTTATATATAATTTTTGAAAATCCTATATCTACCCATGCGAATCCGGGTCGGAGCGCTAGTATATAAAGTTCATTTTTTGTTACCTCTTTTTTAATATTTATAATAATGTAACATTTCTAGAGACCGCATAAGAAACGAGATAAAACAGCTAAGAAAAGAGATGAAAGGCCCCAAAGAGGATAAGAAAGAAGAGAGTAAAGAAGAAAGTCATGACAAGAAATTAGAAGAAGACAACGAAATGTACAAACAGTACGTGGAAGAGCAGGACAAATATAGGAAGATGAAGGAGAAGATTCCGAAAAAGGGTTCTGCCAGGTAAGTGCTTTTTTTTATGGATGATAATGGAATGGTAACCCTGCCTGCGCAAACGGTATACGCTGGCGGGGCACCAGTGGAAGACGACAGGTAAGAATGAATGTAGGTCAGTTGGCCCACCACGATGAAATTGACAAGAATTAACCATGATGGTTTCCAGGTAACCGCGCGGAGGTCGAACTAAGAGGGTTTATTGCTAGCAATGGGGTTATTAGACCTCATTACCTCCCCTCTATAACCTATAACCTCCCTACATAAACCTCCCCTCGGGGGGTTTTGCCGGTAGTTACCACGCTTTCAGGCGGGTTGGCAACCGCAGTTAGGCTTTGGTAACAGGGACGCTATAGCCCATTCCTCACCCTACCTTAGTCGCCTCTTATGACACCAACGGGAACAGAAGGGGTGGCCCATTCTATCCCGGGATTTACAGGGTACAGAGGAATAACACCTGAGTCCTCAGGAATGGCAACGCATGGGGGGTATCATGGGCGAAACAGTATACTCTGTTATGTCCATGGTACTGCTCATGTGTATAGGCGACGGTTACCACTTTCCATCAGGTGGGCCGTCAGCTTGTTTGCCATTATAAGTTGTATAATAAAAAACCACACGGCCAACAGACGATACGATGACGACGGGTAGATAAAATTTTTGAAAATAATATATAGCCTGTGTTAATGTAGTTTTTTATAGATGATTTTTTTTTTAAATAGGTTGAATAGAACGAACTAGTTCTTCTTTACCCAAAGGTGGTCTGGAAGAGGTTGCTTTACCGATAAAACCGCCTTTTGTACTTTATAAATATAAATATATGTAATTTGTATTACTCTTTACGTGGTGCAAAAAAGAGTAAATAAATAAATAAATCAAATCTTTTCTTTTTAACCGACTTCAAAAAGTAGTAGTATTTTTTCATGTTTGTTACCTCATAACTGCTTCAGTTCTGAACCGATTTGGAAAACTTCTTTTTTTGCTTGAAACACTTGCTTGATTGATCTCGTAGAAATTTTACCAAAATAGATTCATTAGTTTAGTTTTTAAATCCAAATTATTGGTTTTGCCACAATTGGAGTCGGTATAATAAGTAATAATAATAATAAGTAAGTTGAATAAAATGCACCAACGACCAAATGTTTCATAGTTACATCAGATTGAAAATATTTGAATTTAGAACGCGTAAACGTGTGCAAAAAAAGCAAAGTTTTGCTCCTCATTGAAGAACAGCAGCTTCTATCGTCACAACATAAATGGGACTAATTTCGTCATAGTCGTAGAATACTGACGGATCTGACGAATATTACATATAAAGATCCGTCAGTATTCTACGACTATGACGATTTGACATGGCAACTCGTCAATTCTTTATTGGACCAAGTATTGCCAGTGTCGAGTTAAAATATTTTTCCAATTTTGTTATTTAATTGGACCAATGGGTGATGTTACGTTAGTAGACCAGTGAGTGATGATAGGTGAAGATTGTAATGGATACATCCTATTTGGTGATTAATAAAAGTTTCAATTATTTATATTTACATGACAGAAATTAAGGTTAAAGAGAGAGAGAGATAGTCATACCAAGAGAACGAGATGGAAACAATTAGTGTTGCAACAAAAAATACAAATTATTTTATGTCATAGACAAATATAAAATCAGATCAGCTAGCCAATCGTGATGAGTTGACCACGAAGGTCGAGTTTTTGTACATCCTAAAGGTCGACTGTTAGAGAATGCCTATAGCATTAAGTCCACCTTTTGTACCACATTCTTATTGGTCAATAAAGATTAAATAAATAAATGGTTTCCAGTCTGGACCGCATGGAGGTCGACGTAACAGGTTATGCCAAGTACCTTTGCTTAATACTTTTTTCAATATCAAGATTCATAGAAGAAAATATTCAAGCAAATGTTTAATTCAAGAACCGACGATTTTCAGAAGCCGACGCTCGAAGATCGCAAGGAAGCCGAAAAGGAAACCGTGGGTGAAGAATTTGTACGAAAACAGAGAGTACCCGGACAATTATACGGACAAGAAGTTTTTGGAAGAGTTGAGAAAGAATATACACATTGAAAAAGTGACTTTATTACAAGCGGTGCAAGGCTCATTTCGGGTTGTACTACGCCTCTGCCTGTGTGTGCTATACGCGATTGTCTACGTGTACATGTATAATAACTTCGTGCACACATACACAGTGATTTACATATCGGTGGCGGTGACTGCGGCATGTCACGTGATATACGTGTGCCTAGAAGGTTCGGCCACTTTTTCGCACGCGAAAACGGTCCTTATATATATAATAATAGGATACCTTCTGTCACCGATATTTCACACACTGACAGACACGGTCAGCACTGATACGATTTACGCTTGGGCCGTTATCATGATGTTGATTCACTTGATATTTTTCGACTACGACGTGCCCGTCGCGTTGGTGTCGAAATCGCTTTCAATTAATGCAGCGATTTTCGCCTCGATGTGTTTAGTGTCGCGGTTGTCGACGCCGTTCGACGCTTTCATACTGTTAACCGTGTCTGTGATACTGTTTGTACTGAGCCCGCAATTGTTCAAAGTGATATTATGCACTAAGTTATTTATACCGTTATTTTTTATCACACTACTAGTCACTTTCATATCACTGTACAGCGTGTCTGTTACTTTGTTCTGGTATTTTTTAATTATTGTTGCTATTTTGAGTGGTTACCTCCCAATGTTGTTTGTTAGGTGGCAAAGGTATAAAGACAATATATATGGACCTTGGGATGAAGCGATAATAAATGATTCTGATGATTTAGAAGAGATTGTTGGTGACATTTAGAATGATCTAGATTTTAAAACAGCCAATATGTCTGGACTTCCATAATACAGGGTTTTGTTTTTAGGTTATTATTATATTTATATATCTATGTATGGTCCCGGCTGTATATAGGCTCCCTCCTTTTGGGGGATTTTGCCGTTGCCAACAGTTGCCACGCTTGGCGGACGGGTTAATAACTGCTGTTAGACTTTAGTGATGTTTTAAGAGGGACGCTGCTGCCAAACCCTCGACAATTAAGTTCCTTTAATCGTCTCTTACGTCACCCATGGGAAAGGAAGGGGTGGTCTATTCTATGCCGGGACCATACGGCGGTTAATATTCATACTATCCAATAATGGCTCAAATAGTACTTTGACTTGTTTATGTTTTTGGTATTTCTGTCATGAAACTGTTCGCAAATTGATTTTATAATTACATGGATTTTAAGTATAATTAATTTGAAGTGATAATTACAAGACACGTGCATCCAGTTCGGATTTTTTATTAGGAGAGACAGTGTGGACACTGTTGCCATTACAAAAAAATATTTGTGTTGGGTTGCCAACAATTGAGTTATATAATTAATTTACAACTGCATCTAATTATTTATTATTAATTTACAAAAGTAAAAAAATTGCCTATTAGGAGATTATTGTTATGGCAAATTTTTATTATGCTATATTGTGCTATTATTTATTTATTTTTATTTATTTATTCTTTATTGTACACAAAAAAATATGACATATAATATATATATAAAATAAAGGTGTACAATAGGCGAGCTTAACTCTGTAAGAGTTCTCTTCCAGCAAATTCCAGCTATTAGATATTAAATATTATGTCAATAATCCAGTGATGGCTCAAATAGTAGTTCGACTAAATTTTTTGGTATATTAGCAATTAACATTAGTGATTATTGTTTTATTGTGAATTCTTTTGTTAAATTGTTATATTGTGATATTGGTAACAGTATTTTTTTTATGATTTGTTAATAGAATGGTAACCCTGCCTGCGCTATTGGTATACACAGAATTTAAATGAATTGATCGCGACTTTTTCTAGGGGGAATCACGTGGAGGTTGATTTTTCTGTTCCCAGTGTAACAATATATTTGCTGAATGGTTAACTGGTAGACAACACCGTCCAATGTTACGTTCGTCAAATCTACATAGAATTGGAGGGACTTGATACCGGACACACTGTGCATTAAAGTTTAAATAATTAAATATATCTAAAATGTAATAATAGTTGAATAGCGAATGAAGCACTCCACGCCAGTTCAGCCAATACAATGGCTCAAAATACTATAAAAAATTGAATAAAACTAGTTTTAGTTAAATTTAATTGTATAAAATTATGAATGTTTAGTGTTATATGTATATTATATAAAGCATAAAAGATTAAATCATTATGAATGTTTTATATTTTTCTAACAAAATAAACAAAATAATATAAATATTTTTCTTTTCTTTTTTAACTCTGGCAACTATACCTCAAAGCTGTTAGTTGTACTAAGATTTACATATGTTCCGATTGCATTCACGTTTAAGACAATGAGCTTTCATCAACATCTAAGTTTCTGAAATCGTCCGCTAGAGGCGTTGCTGAGTTTCTAAAACAAATTATCAATGTAAGGCAAGAGTAACGTAAATCGATGTAAAACTCACATTAGTGACTTAGAAATGTTATGATCAATATGGGACTCCATCAGAGTGATGAAGAAAGGTAAAGAAGCAAGAGATAACGGTAAAAATAACTAACCACCTCAGTTTCTAGACTATAAAAAAACATCTAAATAAAATGATAACCACTAAACGTATTGCACAGCGCCATCTAGTTGTAAACTAAGCAGAACTTGTACTATGGGTATATATATATATATATATATATATATATATATATATATATATATATATATATATATATATATATATATATATATATAGGCGTAAGAAAAGGTCGCGGGATAGGCAGCAGCGTCCCTCTTAAAATTACCATCACCAAAGTCTAACTGCGTTAAATGGACCTGTTGGGTGTGGCAACTACAGGAAAAACCCCCAACAGGGGGGGGGGGGACTTCATTCAGCAAGGGACAGTATGATGAGAGTGGTATGAATACAATAGTTTGTATCCTGTAGGATTTGAAACCACAACTATTGGAAGGTGAGATGGTGTTGATTTTAAACCCCATATCACCAAGGTTGTTACTCCTATATTTCTAAACCCGAAATTATTTGCTTATTATATATTTTACTGTAAAGTTTCGTTTTCTTTCCAGAGAGTCATTCACGCTCGATTTACTGGCTAAATTCAAAAATAAACTTCACGCTATTAAGGAGAAGGTACAGACAGAGGGAGAAAATGAAGAGACAAAGGACGATGATGATGTAAATACAGACGAATGGTGAGTTATATATCTTTTACCTGCGGCTTCGTCCGCGTGTCCGGGTTTTTTTTAATGGGTGATAATGGAATGGTAACCCCACCCGCGCTATCGGTATACACCGGCGGGGCACCAGTGGAAGATGGTAGGTGAGGATGAAACGCGTATCCGGGTTTTTTTTAATGGGTGATAATAGTATGGTAACCCCGTCTGCACTATCGGTATACAATGGCGGGGAACCAGTGATAGATGACTGGTGAGGATGAAAGTAGGTCAGTTAGCCCACCCTGACGAATTCAACTAGAATTTACCACGATGGTTTCTAGGGGGAACCGCGTGGAGGTCGATCTGATATAGTCTATTGTTAGTAATGGGTCTGTTAAATCTCATTACTAACAATCCCTTTCCCCTCAAATATCCATATTACTTATGTTTATATTGCATACCATGAGCATCACAGACTCTTCTATGATATTTATGGTACTGTTTATGTCTATAGGCGACGGTTACCATTCCATCAGGTGGGCCGTCAGCTTGTTTGACATTTCATGTATCATCCAATCACAAAATAACTTTTTTTTTTTTATTAAGGCTCGGACACACTCTCCGCTTCGAGGACAAAGGTGCTGTGTTAGCCAAGGACGCGTCCACAAAGAGCGACGACTGGTTCGACATATATGACCCGAGGAATCCAATCAACAAGAGAAAAAGAGAGAAGCGTGATAATAAAAAAGTAAAAAGTAATAAATGATTTTAGTTTTACATATCCGTGTTTTATTTCTTGTATCTTGTTTCCTTCAAATATTAATGCGCGTAAACTAACATACTCCAAAAGGGGGAAAGGGATTGTTAACAATGGAGTTTGACAGCCCCATTACTAGGAATAAGCCCGTATCAGTCGACCTGATAATTATATCGTATATATCAGGTCGATCTCCACGCGGTTCCCCCTGGAAACCGTCGTGGTTAATTTTAGTGGAATTCGTCACGATGGGCTAACTGACCTGCCTTTTAATTCTTACCTGTCATTCCTCACTGGTGCCCCGCCAGCGTATCCCGCTTCAGCGATAAGCGCTCAGTCGCTTAAAAAATAAACTACCTACATTAATTTCATTTCAATTAATCATGTCCATGTAACAACACAAAGAAATATTAATTATTTAATGACCAAGTGTAAAACAATAAGCGTGTTTCGTGTTTCCCGGTCATCCACCCAGCGGGCTATCGAGCCGAGATCTCTGGTACGGTCAACATTCACGGGTCACTGTAGGCGCAGCCCCATAGTGATGGGACTAGGCAGTGATCGACTCGATATCGTTTTTTTTTCTATTTTTGTGGCTAAACACGATGCGAAAAAAAACACGAATGTTTAAAGTTAACTTTTTTTTAAATCTTTTTAACCTGACTGGATTTATCCAACTATAGCGTTCTTACCCGGCTTCGTACGGTTTATTTTTCAACAAAATACAACCCAATAAAATATGCTGATAATACTTAAAAAAAAAACAGATTTCTATAGATGAAAGAATTTTGTTAAAATCGGTTAAAATTTTTTTGAGTTATAAACAAAATTAAATAAAACAAAACCATTATAAACAAAAATCAAATATTTCCTCTTTAATGATTTATATGTAATCGGTTTTAAAATAGATATTAAGTTATAAAGACATACATAGGCGGACTTATCCCTTATAAAATCTATTTCTTTCAGTCAACCTTTATATAATATTTGTTTATAATTTTTTTTACTCGCTTTTGTCGTTCGCATCTGGAATTATCCGACGGAGATAACCGAGTGGTTTTATTTAATTTGTAGATGGAAATATATTTGTTTAAATGCATGCATGGGTTTCACAAAAAACTACTTCAATAGTGGTAAAACGGGGGGAAAGGGATTGTTAGCAATGGAGTTTGACAGCCCCATTGCTAGCAATATGCTCTATTAGGTCAACCTCCACATGGTTCCCCCTGGAAACCGTCGTGAACAATTCTTGTTGAATTCGTCATGATGGGCTAACTGATCTGCTTCAACCTCACCTATCATCATCATTGGTGCCCCACCGGTGTATACCGATAGCACGGGTGGGGTTACCATTCCATTGTCACACATTAAAAAAAAATAGTGGTGAAACCAGTAATTTTGATTTAAAAACTAAACTACTACATTGATTTTAAGAAAATTTCTATAAGAGATTGAGATTGAGATTGCTTGCCGATAAGACCGCCTTTTGTATCACTTCTCATTAATATTTACTGTATTTGTTATTTCTCTTTTTACTTGGTGCAATAAAGTGTAAATAAATAAATAAATAAGTATATCCTTTCAGATAAAAAAAAAGAATCTTCCAAATCGGTTTACAACTGACTGAGTTATGAGGTAACAAACATAAAAGACATACAACCGAATTTAGAACCTCGTTTTCGAAGTCGATTGAAAAATATCGATACGATAAGTAGTACATACAGTACAACTCTATTACAAATCCGCAAACATTATTAAATTTTATAATAAATTTCGCGAAGTGCCGTCCGTCTGTAGATCACTGATAAACAACCGTATACACAGGACCGCTAATTATCTCATTCATTGTAATATTCTTTGTTTTAATTTCTTAAAGAATATTGTGGATGTACCTGTTTCTATACTAATACGAGATTTTTTACACTTTTTTTTTTATACAACTCAGAATGGCAAACAAGCTGACGGCCCACCTGATGGAAAGTGGTAACCGTCGCCTATAGACATGAGCAGTATCATGGACATAACAGAGTATACTGTTTCGCGCATAATACCCCCCATGCGTTGCCATTCCTGAGGACTCAGGTGTTATTCCTCTGTACCCTATGAATTCACTGCCATAGCCTACCTTTTAAACCGAAACACAGCCATGCAAACACAACTACTTCACGGTTGAAACACGAATGGGACAGAGGTACCCAACCGCCATCGCCGACCGAAGCCCGACGCCGAAGAAACGGCTGCTCACGTAATCCTGAAATGTGAAGCTGTGCCCCATCAACGTTTAGAAATCCTCGGAACGTCGATGGGCAGCAACGTCCCTTTTAAAATATCTCCAAAGCCTAACTGCGGGGGGGGATTGTTAATAATGGAGACTAAGGGCCCCATTGCTAGCAATATACCCAAGCAGGTCGACCTCCACGTGGTTCCCCTGGAAACCATCGTGCTGAATTCCAAGTGTATTCAACACGATGGGCTAACTGACCTATCTTTTTATCCTCATCTATCATCCCTCACTGGTGTCTCGCCAGTGTATACCATTAGCGAAGGCGGAGTTACTATTCCACCATCACCGATTAAAAAACGATGATTAGGTACCATCAGGTGAACAATTAACTTGTTTACCATTCTGAAATACAAAGAAAATACACCTTGATGACAGAAAAGAATAGAAATCCTTTAAAAACGGCCCCATCCACTATTTCCAACGCGACAGCTCACCCCATCGGTGTCGTTAACCTGTTAAATTTCAATGTTTCTGCAATAACTCAGGCTTTCCAAAACATCGTGAGAAACATCTCTGCAATTATATAGCATTTTCACATTTGCAATTTGGTCTAGATTGACTTGCGATAGAAGTGTTAGAATTTCTAATAATTACATTTTCTATGTGTAATAGTTATATTGTTTCTAAAAAAAAAACTGTTTTGTTTTTTTCTTTTTATACGACTTAGAATGGCAAATAAGCTGACGGCCCACCTGATGGAAAGTGGTAACCGTCGCCTATAGACATGAGCAGTACCATGTACATAACAGAGTATACTGTTTCGCTCATGATACCCCCCATGCGTTGCCATTCCTGAGGACTCAGGTGTTATTCCTCTGTACCCTGTTACTACCATACCTATTACTGCCATAGTCTATCTTTTAAACCGAAACACAGCCATGCAAATACAACTGCTTCACGGTTGAAACACGAATAGGACAGAGGTACTCAAGCAAACGACTTTTGTATAATTACCTGTCTATCTATATGTTTGTTCCGGTATCACACAAAAATTACTGCTCCAAACTGGATGCTGTTTTCACAGTTGTATTCCTAAAGGTCT